CAGCAACATCACGACGGGTGACACCAGAAATGGGCTTCACACATTGAACCCATGTGGGGAATCGAACCCGGGTCTTCGGCGTGACGAGTGAACGCTTTAACCACAAGGCTACCAACTGCCTTAACTGATAAAGTAACCGGGAGAGTAATAATGACATGGAAATATTCCCCCCAAAACCACTGTCACGAATATTCTGGATTATTTAAAGCACACTAAAGGATAACATTTAGCATGAACTTAACTTGCATGTAAATATATATCCCCGTAAATAAATGACGATTTCGAAATAGCCTTTATTATCTGCGCTGGGGATACATTTTCAAAAGAGGATTGTTGGAAATCTACTAAATCCTTCGACAAATCGAGGAGTATAGAAAGTACTTCTTATAATAGATTCTGGCTTAACCGTGGATTATGAATCATGGATTTAAGAACCATGGACACGGGTGACCTGGTTGTCAAAGGTGACACAATGTACTTGCCGAGTTGCGTCCCTTGCGCGTGCCAGGAGCTTATGGTCGTGGATTAGAATCCTCGATTCGCCCAGATTATGATTCTTGGATTGTCAGCACGATAACCGTGATCGTGGCTTTACGTCGGAGGCCTGCATCGCTTTACGTTTTCGCCCTCAGTTAAGCTAAAAAACGCTGTGATATAACTGAAACAGTGAAATACTGTTCGGGGCGGTCGGGTAGCCTAGTGGTTCAAGCGTTCGCTCGTCATGCCGAAGACCCGGGTTCGATTCCCGACATGGGTACAATGTGTGAAGCCCCTTTCTGGTGTCCCCCGCCGTGATATTGCGGGAATATTGCTAAAAGCGGCGTAAAACTCACTCACTCACTGAAACACTGTTCAAGACGGTGTTCAACCAAACTCAGACGCTCGACCAAAGAAAACACACGTAAACCTTCCTTTCCCCATGTGATGTCTGATGTTCACATCAACATTGCATCACATTCAGAGATTTGGTCCCACGAAGATCCGGGGTAGAAAAGGTCTTCAGCAACCCATGTTTGCCGTAGGAAGACACTAACGCGATCGGGTGGTCAGACTTGTTGACTTGGTTGATGCATGCCATCCAATCCCACTTGTGTAGATCGATGCTCATGATGTCAGTCACTGGATTGCCTGGTCCAGACTCCATTATTTACAGACCGCCGTCATACAGCTGGAATTTGTTTGTTGTTTTACGCCGCACTCAGCAATATTCCAGCTATATGACGGCGGTCTGTAAATAATCGAGTCTGGACCAGACAATCCAGCGATCCACGCAATTGGGACCGATGACATGCATCAACCAAGTCAGCGAGCCTGACCACCCGATCCCGTTAGTCATAATTATAGCTGGTATATTGAGTGCGGCGTTTAACAACAAGCAAACATACACATCAACTATACGTCAACAAAACATCCAACTTGCATCAGCTACTTGGACACTGAAAACTGACTGATGTTTTATTAGGGTGTACCGTGTGTACCAAATGGCACACCCACATGAACACAATCTTCTCCAGTGTAAAAGGGCAGCGTGATCGAATAACATTGAATGTTTGCGAAATAGGTCTGTCGTGAGGCTAACGTGTATGTGGGTGCATACATTGTGACACGCCCCACAAAGCGGTGGGTCTGACACTCATACAATGTTATTCGTTGCTGTTGTGTCATATATGAGAACGCCGCAGAAGTATGCATCAATGCACTGTGGGAATATATTTATGCATGATATTCACGTGACAGCGACGTTTTGCATGTGTTTTTTTCTCTTGTTGATTTTTGTCTAGCTGATAATGGCACTTGACAAACACCCACACGCCTGATTCAACACAGGATATAAATAAAATAGACCAATTTACGCTCCAATTATATTCATCCACATGATAATACTTCAAAGGCATCCAACTAAATCAACATATACAGGCTTGTTTGTCATGATAATCGGGGCAGGCTTCAACGATCGGCTCAGCTCCGTAATTCATCAATAGGCATTTCAAACAGGTTTGAATCAGGCCTTTTGTTCGTGTCATAAATCCAGTTATATCGGACCCGTGAAGATCCCGGGTCGAATAGGTCTTCAGTAACCCATGCTTGTCGTAAGGGGAGACAATGCTAGTTGTAAGAGGAGACGAACGGGCTCGGGTTGTCAGGCTCGCTGACTTGGTTGATGCATGACATCCTATCCCAATTGCCTAGATCGATGCTCATGATGTCAATCACTGGATTGTCTGGTCCAGACTCGATTAATTACAGACCGCCGTCACATAGCTGCAATATTGCTGAGGGCGGCGTTAAACCAAAACAAACAGACAAACAATATCACAGTTGACATCTTAATGTTAGAAAGCCAAAGTAAAACAGGCCGCGATTGACAGCAAGTTGCGGACTGCGGCAACAAGTGGACCATGTTTGTCACTGCGTCAACTTATTACACATCCAAAGTATAACTTGGTCATACATCATACAACCGCATAAGTAGTTTTTGTCGATCAAAAATCGCAAACCGGTACTATAAAGGGAGAGATGTTTAAACTGACTGGTATATAATGAGTGAGTGAGTTTGGTTTAACGCCGCTTTTAACAGTATTCCAGTTGTATCACGGCGTGTCAGCTTAATGGGGGAGGAAAGCCTGAAGTGATGCAGGTCTCAGACGCTTACCACTTCAATGAAACCCACAAACACGGGTATGGTGCTATAACCTAGAAACAATCAGGGCAAACCGATATTCGAACCCACAATCATAGGTTTGTGGCGTGCCCAAGGGACGTAACTCTGCACAGACAATTGCCGCGCATTAGACGAGTTGGCCACCCGTGCCCCGATATAAAGTGAGAAAAATTAATGAGTGAGTAGTGCTTGATGTTGTTTTGAACAAAGCGTGCCAGCTAAATGTGGGAAGAAATGAAGGCCTTAGACGTTTACCGCTTTGGTGGAATCCACATGTATGGTGCAGGAAAATCAAGAATCATAATCAAGGTGGTGCGAACCCACAATCATAGGATTCTGGCATGCCTAAGGGACGCAACCCGGATGACAATGGTCACGCTCATTAGTCTTTCAACTGAAAACATGTCATCTTATATTGGATTCCTTGGCTGCATTGCTATATTGAAGATGGAAGATGGCGTGTTCAAACTTTAGCACTGGCCGTATAGTATCATCAATATCAGAGGTGTGACAAGGATTTTATTATACATAAAGGCAAAGGCATTTTAGGGGTGGAACAAGTCCGAATTTCCTCCCCCACCCGGGTACCCACTGTGTTTTTCAAGAGATGGGTACATTTATTTACCATAGCACTGGCAAAACGTATTTAGATACATGTAATTAAACAATCTGGTCATGCATACACTGAAGTTGACTCAAGTTGTATCTTTATTCAAATATATGAAAAGTCAGAAGGAATGGGTGCATAGTCAAAATGGTGGCACTTCTGGTTCTGGTGTGTCTCAGCATGCAACGGAACCGGATGTGCCACAGTCCTGGGTAAGACGCCACAGTGACGGGGGGCATGGTTACTGAATAATGTATTCGTTATACAGACATTGTACCGATGTGTGAATCTTAAAAGTAGAACTGTTTGGTAACCTCATTTGCATATGCATCGGATGGGGATATGAAGTTTATTGTATTGGTTGTCAGAAAACATATTCATTATATGTTAATAGAATAACATGCTCAAAGGTTCGAATTAGAATTACGATTATCTTTCCTTCTTTAATGAAGACTGTATGCTCGCCAAGGCTCGGGACTTACAGTCGTCAAGGCACTGCGATTCGCTGTGCAAAGTTGCGTCCATTGGGCACGCCAGAAACCTATGATTGTGGGTTCGAATCCCGGGCAGCCCTGATCATGTTTCTAGGTTTGTCAGCACCATACCCGTGCTCGTGGGTTTCACCGAAGTGGTAAACGTCTGAGACCTGCATCACTTCGGGCTTTCCCCCCACATTAAGCTGACACGCCGTGATATAACTGGAATACTGTTAAAGGCGCCCGTTAAACCCAAATCACTCTCTCACTCACTCACACACTCATTCTGTTGGAACAGATAATCTAGAGATAATGGACGGTGGAAGGTGAAGTGTTATGCGTTTTAAGGTTGCATTCTAGATTATTGCACATATATAGCGACGTGCATGCATATGTGTGTGTGTGGCTGCTTGTATTAGTCTGTACTAATTCCGATTTTATAGTGCTTCTCCACTAAGATACCATACTGCTATTTAACATGAATACCCTACTCAGACACAGTATACTGACTCCGAGCGACCAGTCGTCGTTTTAGCCCCTTAATGACAAGCACTAGGCAGGATAAAAAGTACATCTCTTAACGTCTTTTGCTAAGACGCAGACAGGGATCAAACCACTCTCCAGGCAGACACTCCACCACTAGACAATGGTGGTGGTATAATGGTGCGAGTTCTGAGCCTTTTATGAGGGCATTATAGCATCCATTCACAACATTACAGATACTCAGTGTGTCCTTGTTTGTTGTTGGTCGTTCACTGCTTATCAACCATAACATGATGGGGACTTGATTAATTACAGACTTGATATGGCTAGATTATTGCCAACTTTGGCGTAAAGGGAAACTCACTCACTGGATTCTGACCTTTGAAATGATTTTGATTTGTTCCGAAATACTTAGGGTATAATAGCCCCTCCTTGTAGATCAAAGATTGTATTTGAAACCCTTTGTTATTAGGGTCTGACCATTTGATATTCTGAGTGGGGGGATTTTGTATGGGGGACTAGCTTTTTTCAGATTTTTAAAAATAAAACCATGCGCCTAAATACTTTGTTTTATGAAATACGCCTTGCAAAAATGTATTTTTTGTGGTGGACATTTTTAAACAACAGTCTGAAGCATAAGTATTTTTTTCCAGGAACTTTCTAGGCCAATTTCTCTTCCCAGCCCGTCCCCCAGCCCAGAATATCAAATGAAAGTTCTTTGTCCTGTAAACTTCTGTAATGTTTCAACACCTGACATACAAAACAATGCCAATTTGAGCAGAAAGACATTTTATTGCTATTGACAGTTAAAAGACATCTATTTCAAGATGGCAGTTTCAGCCATCACCAGTTCCTCTTTCTTCCTCCTCCTCATCATCCATCTCTTCCTCGGAGGTCACATCAGGGTCATCAGCCTGACTGAGACACTTCGGGCAGTTGCAACTGAACAAGTAGTTGTCTCTGAAACCAAAAAGGACTATGTTGTTAATTCTTTACTTTCAAATAGTCTGAGACTGCCTCCGTGGTCAACTGGTAGAGCGTCTGCCCAGAGAGCGGAAGGTCCAGGGATCATAATCAGGGCAAATACAGTTACAAAATTACAATCAGCAGATCCTGGTACCCCAAAGGGGTGTAACCACTTTTGGGCCATCAATGTCCCTTAGAACTCTAAGAGATTAGCTAAGAGTTTCATATATTTTCATATTTTTCTCATATTTTGATTGGGATACCTGTCATGAATTTCATTATTCTTCCTGCCAATGAAAATTGACAATAGAGCCAAGAGACCAGGTTTTCGAGATGTTCCATCACCAGAAGCAGTGTGTTCAATAACTCATCTCGGTCGTCTAAAGGCACCGCAACTCACTGTGCAGAGTTGCGTCTCCTAGGGATGCCAGAAACAAATGACTGTGGGGTCAAATCCCGGTTCGCCCCGATCATTTTTCTAGGTTTGTCAGCACCATACCTGTGCTTGTGGGTTTCACCAAAGCGTAAACACCTGAGACCTGCATCACTTCGGGCTTTCCTCCCGCATTAGCTGACACGCCCTGATATAACTAGAATACTGTTAATAGCGGTGCTAAACCTCACTCACCCACTCTACACTCACTTGAGTACCCTCTGTCTGCTGTGCCTTCTCCTGCTCAGGGAACACTCACTCACTCACTCTACACTCACTTGAGTACCCTCTGTCTGCTGTGCCTACTCCTGCCCAGGGGACACTCACTCACTCACTCTACACTCACTTGAGTACCCTCTGTCTGCTGTGCCTACTCCTGCTCAGGGAACACTCACTCACTCACTCTACACTCACTTGAGTACCCTTTGTCTGCTGTGCCTACTCCTGCCCAGGGGACACTCACTCACTCACTCTACACTCACTTGAGTACCCTCTGTCTGCTCTGCCTTCTCCTGCTCAGGGAACACTCACTCACTCACTCACTCTACACTCACTTGAGTACCCTCTGTCTGCTGTGCCTACTCCTGCCAAGGGAACACTCACTCACTCTACACTCACTTGAGTACCCTCTGTCTGCTGTGCCTACTCCTGCCCAGGGGACACTCACTCACTCACTCTACACTCACTTGAGTACCCTCTGTCTGCTGTGCCTACTCCTGCACAGGGAACACTCACTCTACACTCACTTGAGTACCCTCTGTCTGCTGTGCCTACTCCTGCCAAGGGAACACTCACTCACTCTACACTCACTTGAGTACCCTCTGTCTGCTGTGCCTACTCCTGCCAAGGGAACACTCACTCACTCACTCACTCTACACTCACTTAAGTACCCTCTGTCTGCTGTGCCTACTCCTGCCCAGGGAACACTCACTCACTCACTCTTCACTCACTTGAGTACTCTCTGTCTGCTGTGCCTACTCCTGCCCAGGGAACACTCACTCACTCACTCTACACTCACTTGAGTACCCACTGTCTACTGTGCCTACTCCTGCCCAGGGAACACTCACTCACTCACTCACTCTACACTCACTTGAGTACCCTCTGTCTGCTGTGCCTACTCCTGCCCAGGGAACACTCACTCACTCATTCACTCACTCTACACTCACTTGAGTACCCTCTGTCTGCTGTACCTACTCCTGCTCAGGGAACACTCACTCACTCACTCTACACTCACTTGAGTACCCTCTGCCTCCTGTGCCTACTCCTGCACAGGGAACACTCACTCACTCACTCTACACTGACTTGAGTGCCCTCTGTCTGCTGTGCCTACTCCTGCCCAGGGAACACTCACTCACTCACTCTACACTCACTTGAGTACCCTCTGCCTGCTGTGCCTACTCCTGCCTTGGGAACACTCACTCACTCACTCTACACTCACTTGAGTACCCTCTGTCTGCTGTGCCTACTCCTGCCCAGGGGACACTCACTCACTCACTCTACACTGACTTGAGTGCCCTCTGTCTGCTGTGCCTACTCCTGCCCAGGGAACACTCACTAACACTACACTCACTTGAGTACCCTCTGTCTGCTGTGCCTACTCCTGCCCAGGGGACACTCACTCACTCACTCTACACTCACTTGAGTACCCTCTGTCTGCTGTGCCTACTCCTGCTCAGGGAACACTCACTCACTCACTCTACACTCACTTGAGTACCCTCTGTCTGCTGTGCCTACTCCTGCCCAGGGGACACTCACTCACTCACTCTACACTCACTTGAGTACCCTCTGTCTGCTGTGCCTTCTCCTGCTCAGGGAACACTCACTCACTCACTCACTCTACACTCACTTGAGTACCCTCTGTCTGCTGTGCCTACTCCTGCCAAGGGAACACTCACTCACTCTACACTCACTTGAGTACCCTCTGTCTGCTGTGCCTACTCCTGCCCAGGGGACACTCACTCACTCACTCTACACTCACTTGAGTACCCTCTGTCTGCTGTGCCTACTCCTGCCCAGGGAACACTCACTCTACACTCACTTGAGTACCCTCTGTCTGCTGTGCCTACTCCTGCCAAGGGAACACTCACTCACTCTACACTCACTTGAGTACCCTCTGTCTGCTGTGCCTACTCCTGCCTAGGGAACACTCACTCACTCACTCACTCTACACTCACTTAAGTACCCTCTGTCTGCTGTGCCTACTCCTGCCCAGGGAACACTCACTCACTCACTCTTCACTCACTTGAGTACTCTCTGTCTGCTGTGCCTACTCCTGCCCAGGGAACACTCACTCACTCACTCTACACTCACTTGAGTACCCACTGTCTACTGTGCCTACTCCTGCCCAGGGAACACTCACTCACTCACTCACTCTACACTCACTTGAGTACCCTCTGTCTGCTGTGCCTACTCCTGCCCAGGGAACACTCACTCACTCATTCACTCACTCTACACTCACTTGAGTACCCTCTGTCTGCTGTGCCTACTCCTGCTCAGGGAACACTCACTCACTCACTCTACACTCACTTGAGTACCCTCTGCCTGCTGTGCCTACTCCTGCACAGGGAACACTCACTCACTCACTCTACACTGACTTGAGTGCCCTCTGTCTGCTGTGCCTACTCCTGCCCAGGGAACACTCACTCACTCACTCTACACTCACTTGAGTACCCTCTGCCTGCTGTGCCTACTCCTGCCTTGGGAACACTCACTCACTCACTCTACACTCACTTGAGTACCCTCTGTCTGCTGTGCCTACTCCTGCCCAGGGAACACTCACTCACTCACTCTACACTCACTTGAGTACCCTCTGTCTGCTGTGCCTACTCCTGCCCAGGGAACACTCACTCACTCACTCTACACTCACTTGAGTACCCTCTGTCTGCTGTGCCTACTCCTGCTCAGGGGACACTCACTCACTCACTCTACACTCACTTGAGTACCCTCTGCCTGCTGTGCCTACTCCTGCCTTGGGAACACTCACTCACTCACTCTACACTCACTTGAGTACCCTCTGTCTGCTGTGCCTACTCCTGCCCAGGGGACACTCACTCACTCACTCTACACTCACTTGAGTACCCTCTGTCTGCTATGCCTACTCCTGCCCAGGGAACACTCACTCACTCACTCTACACTCACTTGAGTACCCTCTGTCTGCTGTGCCTACTCCTGCCCAGGGGACACTCACTCACTCACTCTACACTCACTTGAGTGCCCTCTGTCTGCTGTGCCTACTCCTGCCCAGGGAACACTCACTAACACTACACTCACTTGAGTACCCTCTGTCTGCTGTGCCTACTCCTGCCCAGGGGACACTCACTCACTCACTCTACACTCACTTGAGTACCCTCTGTCTGCTGTGCCTACTCCTGCCCAGGGAACACTCACTCTACACTCACTTGAGTACCCTCTGCCTGCTGTGCCTACTCCTGCCTTGGGAACACTCACTCACTCTACACTCACTTGAGTACCCTCTGTCTGCTGTGCCTACTCCTGCTCAGGGAACACTCACTCACTCACTCTACACTCACTTAAGTACCCTCAGTCTGCTGTGCCTACTCCTGCCCAGGGAACACTCACTCACTCACTCACTCTACACTCACTTGAGTACCCTCTGTCTGCTGTGCCTACTCCTGCCCAGGGAACACTCACTCAGGTAGCTGATACAAATCTCCTGAAACACATACACAGTGGACCTTAGAACAAACTGTGTCATTAATTGGAAACACAATCATAAATAAATTTCATTCATGAAACATGTTGGATATCTAACACACATGCAATAGTTGATGAATGGTCAAATTCCTCACTATCCTCATATACAATTGGTCAAATATTGGAAAAAGCTCACCTGGATATGTAGCCAAAAGATAAAAATGCCCCCCAGAATCAGCCACTTCACAAATGTTGCTGTCAAAATTGATATGCATAGTTTTCTGTATATCAGCTGAGCTAAAACTAGTACTAAAAGCAAACAATTTGAGCAAAATGTGTCATCATCAGGAGAATTATACATGTCATGTTCAGCTTCCTCAGTTGGACACGTTTACAGAGCCACATATGCATTTGGAGAGAATTTAGGAGCTTGGCCAAAGAACGTTAACATAAAATTTTGAAAAACCACTGGAACACGTGTTGAATTCCACATCAAGCAAAACTAATTCCAATTTTCATTACATTGTGTACAGAAGTAGCTGGGTAATGGCATTAAAATGATTCAAAGTCAAAATCTTAAATATATTGCAAAAATAGAAACAGATACGTTGAGCCTAACTACTACCAACACATGTATCAAATCTCACGGGTCTTTGAGCATAATGACCAAGTAATAGCCATGAATGAATATTAAATATTAAATGAATATACAAACAGGCCACGACTAAGCTGTATGCCATACAACTGTATGACAACAGGCCACGACTAAGCTGTATGCCATACAACTGTATGACAACAGGCCACGACTGAGCTGTATGCCATACAACTGTATCACAACAAACCACAACTAAACTGTATGCCATACAACTGTATGACAACAAGCCACAACTAGGCTGTATGCCATACAACTGTATAACAGGCCCAACTGAGCCGTAGGCCTAACAGCTGTATGACAACAGGTCATCAGCAAAGAATCAGTAACAATAGAAGGTTTTCCTGTACCTGCTCAGGCTCTATGGTCTCCATGGCAACCAGGACAAGGGTGTGGTTGTTGTGGGGGAAGGTTATCTCAGCGTTTGGAACACAACTGTGATTACCTGGTGAAATAGCATAGTGATTACCTGGTGGAATAGTTGTATATAAGAATAGCACAGTGATTACCTGGTGGAATAGTTGTATATAAGAATAGCACAGTGATTATCTGGTGGAAAAGTTGTATATAAGAATAGCACAGTGATTATCTGGTGGAATAGTTGTATATAAGAATAGCACAGTGATTACCTGGTGGAATAGTTGTATATAAGAATAGCACAGTGATTATCTGGTGGAATAGTTGTATATAAGAATAGCACAGTGATTATCTGGTGGAATAGTTGTATATAAGAATAGCACAGTGATTATCTGGTGGAATAGTTGTATATAAGAATAGCACAGTGATTATCTGGTGGAATAGTTGTATATAAGAATAGCACAGTGATTATCTGGTGGAATAGTTGTATATAAGAATAGCACAGTGATAACCTGGTGGAATAGTTGTATATAAGAATAGCACAGTGATTATCTGGTGGAAAAGTTGTATATAAGAATAGCACAGTGATTATCTGGTGGAATAGTTGTATATAAGAATAGCACAGTGATTATCTGGTGGAATAGTTGTATATAAGAATAGCACAGTGATTATCTGGTGGAATAGTTGTATATAAGAATAGCACAGTGATTATCTGGTGGAATAGTTGTATATAAGAATAGCACAGTGATTATCTGGTGGAATAGTTGTATATAAGAATAGCACAGTGATTACCTGGTGGAATAGTTGTATATAAGAATAGCACAGTGATTATCTGGTGGAATAGTTGTATATAAGAATAGCACAGTGATTATCTGGTGGAATAGTTGTATATAAGAATAGCACAGTGATTATCTGGTGGAATAGTTGTATATAAGAATAGCACAGTGATTACCTGGTGGAATAGTTGTATATAAGAATAGCACAGTGATTATCTGGTGGAATAGTTGTATATAAGAATAGCACAGTGATTATCTGGTGGAATAGTTGTATATAAGAATAGCACAGTGATTATCCAAGGTTCATACAGATATGGAACACTAAAACTTCAAGGGCTTTCAAGGCTTTTTTACTGGCCTATAAATCCAACATACTATGTATAAGTCGTAAGACCTAAAAAGCAACATGGAAAATATAAAATTAAGTCTCATGAACGCACGCATGCATGCACTATCAAATCAGCATTGCACATCGCTATGTAAGTGCAATAATCTTTAACGCGACGTCAAACCCCATTTCACCTCACTACTATTCCAACCAGAATCCCCACAAGTTGGAGTTGGTTGGTTGGTTTGTTGTTTAACGCCGCACTCAACAATATTCCAGCTATATGACGGTGGTTTGTAAATAATCGAGTCTGGACCAGACATTCCAGTGATTGATATCATGAGCATCGATCCCCGCAACTGGGATCGATGACATGCATCAACCAAGTCAGCGAGCCTGACTTCCAGATCCCGTTAGTCGCCTTTTACGACAAGCATAGTCACCTTTTACACCAAGCATGGGTTGCTGAAGACATATTCTACCCCGGATCTTCACGGGTCCCACAAGTTGTACAAGGGGTACATATGGCCACTACACATTTAGCACAGCATTAGTTGTTGTTGTTTGTTTGTTGTTTTAAGCTGCACTCAGCAATATTCCAGCTATATGACAGCAGTCTGTAAATAATTGAATATGGACCAGACAATCCAGTGATTAATATCGCGACAGCGATCCACGCAGTTGGGATCGATGATATGCATCAACCAAGACAGCGAGCCTGACCACCCGATCCCGTTAGTTGCCTCTTACGACAAGCCTAGTCGCCTTTTACGGCAAGAATGGGTTGCTGAAGACCTATTCTACCCTGGATCTTCATGGCTGAAATAAGACAGCATACTTACAAGCACTTTGTAATTGGTACAGTCCGGAACCTTCAACATTGAGGAACATTCCTGCCACTGAAACACATGATGGAGACTTAAACTGGTTCATTCAAAACTTCAGCCACCAAATCTAAGGCTTATTAAGTTAATGATTTACGTCACTTTTCAAGGACAAATTTATGATCCAAGTGAGTGAGTGAGTTGGGTTTAACGCCACTTTTAACAGTATTCCAGTTATATCACAGCGTGTCAGCTTAATGTGGTAGGAAAGCCTGAAGTGATGCAGGTCTCAGACGTTTACCACTTCGGTGAAACCCACGAGCATGGGTATGGTGCTGACAAACCTAGAAACTTAATTGGGGCGAACCGTGAATTCGAACCCACAATCATAGGTTTCTGGCGTGTCCAAGGGACGCAACTCTGCACAGTGAATCGCGGCGCCTTAGACGACTGGGCTACCCGTGCCCCCTTTATGTGTGCTAGCAAACAGATGTATTGAGACATTCTTTCTTTATTTCATTGTCGGAATTATAGCTCCATTTGTACATCTAACTCGATCTTAAGGAAATGCCGGATGTTCTTATTCTACAATTTTAATGCCTATCATTTGATATTCACGATACAGCACTACACTCAGACAATGAATTATCTTGTTGGCACCATGTACACCAAACATTCTGAATATTGTGTGAGTGAGTGAGTGAGTGAGTATGTTTTTACGGAGCTTTTAGCAATATTCCAGCAATATCAAGGCGGGGAATACCAAAAATGGTATTCAAACATATGGGGAATCGAACCTGGGCCTTTAGTATGATGAGTGAACGCTTTAAACACTAGGCTACCCCACCACCCCTCTGAAATATTGATATATTTTCCCTCCATCCTCGATGATCTACTGTATTACGGTATTCGATGTAATAAGCGTCCCCAGGTGCTCTCAAAATTAGAAATAGGGGGCTCTTATTAGAATATTATTTGTCATAAAACAGTTGAAAGATAAATTTTGTGGTTTATGCTGACAGCCTGAAATGTTTATATACGAGAGATGTATTTTTCCAGAATTTAATTGCCCATAATTAAGGGTGTATATAACACACGAGTGCGTATTATACGCAAATAAATAAGTATTGTGTACATTGATCAATCGGAAGGGGAGCTAATTGGGATTGTTCACGGCCCATATATATGCAAATATTGCCGTGGGCGCTTATTAGAGCGGGGCGCTTATTACGTCGAATACGGTATGTCTAGTTTCATTAAATGGCAAAAATCATGTAAAAAGCATTAGATGTCAAGTGGTGAAATCATGAGGAGAAACAAACAGCTTTTTCTTATTTAATAGAATTTCTACTGTGTGTTGTGACGAGTGCGTGTTGTTACGACTGTGTGTTGTTACGATCGTGTGTTGTTACGACTGGCTTGTGTTGGGTGCTGACCTTGGTCCAGTTGTTCGTAAAGCTGGTCAATGAACTCCTCCACCTTCTCCTTCTCCTCTGTCGAGTGCTCCAGGGCCTCGCAGTTCCTCACCCACACGCTGATGGAGCTGGAGGAGAACAAACATGTCTCACTCTTCTGTTTATGTGGCACTCATGTCTCAGTGGTGGATCAGAAGAGTGTGGGGGGTTGAAGGGAAGTGGGGTTTATGGGAAGTGGGGTTTATGGGAAGTTGAATCCCAATCCCCTTTTGAAAATATCATGACATTATTATGGACCAAAATGACAAAATAAAACACCAAAAAATTGTTTGTTAAAAGCACTTGACATATGAACTAACTCTCTGCTGAGAGTAATATTTCAAAATGTTATAGGTGCTGAGCAATTTTTGTGTTTCTGACACAAGTGGGTGAAGTATCCGGTCATTTTCATTCCCCATAAGCATAAGTTAAGTTGTAGTGAGTGAGTGAGTGAGTATGGTTTTACGCCGCTTTTAGCAATATTCCAGCAATATCACGGCCGGGGACACCAGAAATGGGCTTCACACATTGTAGCCATGTCAGGAATCGAACCCAGGGTCTTCGGCGTGACGATCGAACGCTTTAACCACTAGGCTACTCAGTTCCAGCATGAATGTAACAATATGCCGTCTAATACATGACCCCTCGCCCTTGAAACTGAATGAAATGAGACAAGAGGCTGTCAAAAATACCTCTTGCATGTTCTACTCCATGCGCTTTTTGATTTTTACAATGTTAAATATCTGCAAAGCAAAAGTTCTTAAACACAGTCTCCAGAACACTACACTACACACGGAACATATCCAACAAACAAACACTGTGGAGGTCTAAAACATCTTTAGATTCACCTGTCAGAACAAACACAAATAATTGAGATGATTAAAGAATCTAATTTGATTATGAAGGCTTTGAGGCCTTGTGAGTGAGTGAGTGAGTTGGGTTTAACGCCGCTTTTAACAGTATTCCAGTTATATCACGGCTTGTCAGCATAATGTGGGAGGAAAGCCCGAAGTGATGCAGATCTCAGATATTTACCACTTTGGTGAAACCCACGAGCACGGGTATGGTACTGACAAACCTAGAAACATAATCGGGGTGAACCGGGATTCGAACCCACAATCATAGGCTTCTGGCGTGCCCAAGGGGCGCAACTCTGCACAGTGAATCGCGGCGCCTTAGACAACTGGGCCACCCGTGCCCCCTTGAGCTTGTGACAAAGAAGAGTTTCGGTTCTCACTCACCTGCTGCCAATACCCTGGCCATTCCGCCCGATGAGAGCAAACAGAGACTTGAAGCCCTCTGGTGTGAACCACTGAAACAGACAGGAAACTCCACTGAGTAACTTCTTATTTTGAAGATTGAGGGATTTCCAGTGATGTGATTGGTTTATTTGCTGGTCACATGACCTGTTTATTATTCAACAAGTGGCGGTCATTTCTTGCAGTTGAACAAGTGTAATGCTAATAAATCAAACAAAACTCTCACGACAAACGTGTTGATACATAAGATAGCTATGCGATAAATTGGAAAGAAAATGAAACGAATGAAGCGTGGTTTATTTCATGATATATCATTGTTCTATCATGACATAATTTCTGGAGATTCAAACATGCGCTCACAACTTGATGCAGCATATATTGGACGATGTTAATTTTGAGAGGGAAGTGTTCAGTAAGTTGTTCCCCATAGATGTAGCTAGGCTATGCAGATAAACGAGTTGGCCGAACGATCGAGTCCAAAGTTGGGAGAGATATGACAATTGGTATTAGGAGAAAGGTTCAGACAAAATCTCATTAAAATCAGACCTCAGTTCTCGCTACCGCTAAACAAAGATCTGAAGACATCCCATTATGGGTCACGTCAGAACGACCTTTCATCCAACCAATCAGAGTGGGGCTTACCAGATCATTAAAGTGACAGTCGGAATGTGATTTCTAATGATGCATCCTCGAAAACTTTAACACCGGGTATTCCGAACGATAGTAACGGGTTTAACGACTTCACATGTGAGTTTCTAACACTCACCTGTTGTGCTGCCTCCTCCAGAATGCTTCACATGTGAGTTTCTAACACTCACCTGTTGTGCTGCCTCCTCCAGAATGCTTCACATGTGAGTTTCTAACACTCACCTGTTGTGCTGCCTCCCCCAGAATGCTTCACATGTGAGTTTCTAACACTCACCTGTTGTGCTGCCTCCTCCAGATTGCTTCACATGTGGGTTTCTAACACTCACCTGTTGTGCTGCCTCCTCCAGAATGCTTCACATGTGAGTTTCTAACACTCACCTGTTGTGCTGCCTCCTCCAGAATGCTTCACATGTGGGTTTCTAACACTCACCTGTTGTGCTGCCTCCTCCAGAATGCTTCACATGTGAGTTTCTAACACTCACCTGTTGTGCTGCCTCCTCCAGAATGCTTCACATGTGGGTTTCTAACACTCACCTGTTGTGCTGCCTCCTCCAGAATGCTTCACATGTGAGTTTCTAACACTCACCTGTTGTGCTGCCTCCTCCAGAATGCTTCACATGTGGGTTTCTAACACTCACCTGTTGTGCTGCCTCCTCGTACAGTGCCTCCGATGTGAGTCTCCACAGCAGCTCCATAGGATCCTGATAGGATCCAAACAACATTCACATACAGTAAACACTTTGCTGACAATGAAGCAATCATCAACCTTTTGCACCTGTAAAGGGTAACTTAATAGTTGGCAGGGGAAAGCATTGTTTGTGCAGCGCTGCTTCACGAATTAAGTACAGTCGTGCCTCATTTATACAGACACTTGCGTCATTTCAGAATTCGTCCGTATAAACGAATTTCCGTAAAACTGAAACCAGCTTCTTACTGGAAGAGTTACTTCCCTTCAATTATCTAACTCATGACAGATGACAGAGCAAACAGAAACTTTCTCTATCAGCATTTTATCATTAACGGGCACATTACGACCTGTCATGTCACACAACTAAAGATATAATGCATCTTCCAGCTTCTGGTGTTTTGCTACACGGGATCGTGATAATTCATCTGAATTTTCTGGGAGATTTAAACGTCACCAATTGTCGATTTTCCTATGGTATGTCGAAATTCAGTGCCATAATGCTTACTGATGGTTTCCAAACTTGCTGACCTCTGACCTCCACAGACGCCATATTTATCGAATGGGATTACATGTACAATAAACAAGCTCGTCTCAAACGTAACTCAGTGTCCCTTGATTAATTGACTTCTCACGAATCAAAGGATTACCACCAGCGGAAGTGTATTGACAATTTTGTGTGCATTTCAGTGTTTTGTGTATGAAAATGACCATCCGGTTCCGGAAACTGAATTTCCGTATATATGGGTAAATTTATATAGTAATTATTTCGTTTTGAATGAAAATCGTCCGGGAACCGAGGTTTCCGGATATCTGAAGTCTGTATAAGTGGGGCATGACTGTACTTACTTATGCAGAGATACTTTACTGATGTGGAGGTTCAATACTAGTGTTGATGTGTGTTAATAATGGGAGGTGCTTTACGTAATGGTTGCATGGTGTACATTAGGGCTGCAACAAATACACTATGAGGTGAATACGATTCATATCATGAATATAGGATAAAGAATATGAATATTTATTCACGAATACAATGATAAGTCAAGAGTTGACATATTATTTATGATATTCAGTGAAACAATAACAAATTAAATTATTTAACATGGTTTGTTAATTATTAATTTATTATGCATTTATATACTGCACTAGTACTAGTATCTGCTGAAATGAGACAATGACCAGTAACCACAATATGCCAAATTAAATATAAAAGAGTGTTGTCTTTGAAGAAATCTATGCATATAATATGTTCTTATGGTTATTTTAAGGGTCAGGGTATGTAAATGCACAAGACCGCATATTCATAAATATTTGATTCTAATCACTACGAATAACGAATTCAATTCATGAATGGATACAGTTCGATTCACTGAATACGCGAGTGAATCGTAACAGCCCCAGTGAACATACATACATTATAAGGGTAACGCTATTTTTGCAGAAGCCCAAGGTCTTCCATTAACTGCCCGACGTAGGAGGTCAGTTGAAAAGATCGAGGGCTTCTGCAAATGATAATGCCCTGAAAAATAGCGTTTCCGTTATTATAGCTAAAATGGATGGAATTTTTTATCAAATAAAAAGAAACAACAATATCAGGTTTAAAAAATTTACCGCAATCAACACGAATGTCACTGACCCACTTATACAAATATGGAAACATCAAAGAACCAGATGACGTCACTATTGAACGTGATGTCACGATCCTATCCTATGACGTCACCTAACAACGGGCGTGATAATGGCCCGTTGTCAAGCAATATGAGGGCATTATCAAGTTACAGTGGCCCGCTGATTTTTGATAACATGTGGGCGGTTTAATGACAATTCTATCCATTTTAGCTATAATTAACCAATGTAGTCCTGGTTAGAATTGGTGTTCAGCAACCCATGATTGCCGTAAGAGGCGACTAACGGGATTGGGTGGTCAGGCTCCCTGACTTGATTGATGCATGTCATCGTATACCAATTAGGTAGATCGATGCTTGTTATACCAACTGGATTGTGTGGTCCAGACACAATTATTTACAGACCACGTTGTTTAGCTTGAATTTTGAGTGCAGCACTAAACAACAAAGATAAAAATCAAACAATACTAATGTCAGATATTTTACTGAATTATTGCCCTCAACTAGTGTTCACAGTGCCCAAGAAACCAATATATATTTTGTTATTTTCCATCTATTATATGCCTGAATTTGGCGCCCACGAACCTGAAACTGTTCTCCCAGTAGTTTGTGGACGATCTGCTCCTCCTCGTTTACTGTGTTCTGTACAAACGAGGAGAACATACCCAGGACAGCATCTTTATCTTCAGCCTGGGGGTCGAGAGTTGAAAAATGAAATAACAAGCATGAAATACTCATATCTCCCACCAGTATGACACGTCCGGGTGTGTGCAAGGCATTAGCTCCCTGGAAACGAGCACTACCGCCATTTTCAAAGTCAAAGTCTATGGCAAATCAAAAAATAAAATCCCAAACTATCAAATGGCACAAGTTTACCACTAGATCTATCTATGTGCCAAGTTTGGTTAAGATATCACTCATGGTTTTAGAGTTCTGCTCTGGAAACTAAATGTGATGGACGGACAGACGGATGGCACACATTCCTATATCCCCCTTCCACTTCGGGGCAGAGGTTAATAATGATATAGACATGTTCTTTAATCATGGTTACAATGACACCATCACATATGAACAATAACTTGAAACAGGGGATATTAAATCTTATGACATGACCTACTGCCTTCTGAATGATTTTAACAGATGTGTTTTCAACTGTCACATAAGATTTTGGAAGTGCAACTACATCCCTTGTGTCACTGAGCTGCATCACTGAGGAACAGTTTTGTGAAGGAATTCCTACAGGGTTTAAGGTAAATATCCCGGAATTCCTACAGGGTTTAAGGTAAATATCCCGGAATTCCTACAGGGTTTAAGGTAAATATCCCGGAATTCCTACAGGGTTTAAGGTAAATATCCCGGAATTCCTACAGGGTTTAAGGTAAATATCCCGGAATTCCTACAGGGTTTAAGGTAAATATCCCGGAATTCCTACAGGGTTTAAGGTAAATATCCCGGAATTCCTACAGGGTTTAAGGTAAATATCCCGGAATTCCTACAGGGTTTAAGGTAAATATCCCGGAATTCCTACAGGGTTTAAGGTAAATATCCCGGAATTCCTACAGGGTTTAAGGTAAATATCCCGGAATTCCTACAGGGTTTAAGGTAAATATCCCGGAATTCCAACAGGGTTTAAGGTAAATATCCCGGAATTCCTACAGGGTTTAAGGTAAATATCCCAGAATTCCTACAGGGTTTAAGGTAAAATACATCAAATCAATATGACAATTGCATTTCAAATCAGAAAGTGACTTTCAAAGACCAGAAAACATTGATATTTCAGGGCTCAGAAAAGTTACTGGTAATATGAAAGGGAGCTCGGGATACCGTCATCTGTTACTTACTTGTTTGACTGTGGCAATCATTTTGGCGAGCAACATTATTGTGGCTGTCTCTGGGGGGAAGTGGATATTCCTGAAACTCACAGAAAACAATAGCCATGTTGAAAACAAGTACAGTCAGGTCTTGTTAATCTGACACTTGTTTATCCGACAATCGGCATTATCCGACACAAATGATGGAAACCGATTTAATCAGTGCTATTTAGACCTGTTAATCCGACAGTCTCGCACTCCGACTCCGACACACCTAATTTGCAACGAATTGCTGAAATCACTCATTTATCAGTCTCGTTAATCCGACACAGTGATCAGCGTACTCCATGGTCATCTGCCCGTGAGTACACAGTCCCGTGTTTTGATGCAAAACGAGTCGGCGATTAGCTGCATATTTCAACGGCTGCAGAGATAAACTTGCGTCACAATTTCCGATCACGAACGTTGATACCATCCAATTTCGTTTATCCGACATACTCGTTAATCCGACATAATCATATGCAACCAACAATGTCGGATTAACGGGACTTGACTGTATTTATAACCTATACATATATGTAACAGATACCCCAATGAAAAGGATAAGTTGGGGAACACAAAGTACGCGATCTGAGTTCCAGTTGTCGCGCTTCCATTTTTGTGGAAGCCTTGGTGGATGAGTGGGTAAGATCGATGATTTTGTGTGCTGGCTATCAGGTGCCTCACTATGAGAGTGTGGGTTTCACCAAAAAGGGACTAGAATTTGTACTGTAAAGAAATTGTTGTGCAGCTTGTGTGCACCTGATGTGTGAGATGGTAGCACCTGTTGTGTGGGGTGGGTGCCCCTAGAGTGTGGAATGGATGCACCCGATGGGTGGGGTGGTTGCCCCTAGAGCATGGAATGGATGCACCTGATGGGTGGGGTTGGTGCCCCTAGAGTAGGGAATAGATGCACCTGATGGGTGGGATAGGTGCCCCTAGAGTAGGGAATGGATGCACCTGATGGGTGGGGTGGGTGCCCCTAGAGTAGGGAATAGATGCACCTGATGGGTGGGGTGGGTGCTGATGGGAGGGTTGGGTGTGTGGGTGCCCCTAGAGTGTGGAATGGATGCACCCATTGTGTCGGATGGGTGCACCTAGGGTAGGGAATGGATGCACCTGATGGGAGGGTTGGGTGTGTGGGTGCCCCTAGAGTGTGGAATGGATGCACCCGTTGTGTGGGGTGGGTGCACCTAGAGTAGGGAATGGATGCACCTTATGGGAGGGCTGGGTGTCCCTAGAGTGTGGAATGGATGCACCCGTTGTGTGGGGTGGGTGCACCTAGAATGTGGAATGGATGCACCTGATGGGTTGGGTGTGTGCCCCTAGAGTAGGGAATAGATGCACCTGATGGGAGGGTTGGGTGTGTGGGTGCCCCTAGAGTGTGGAATGGATGCACCTTTTGTGTGGGGTGGGTGCCCCTAGAATGTGGAATGGATGCACCTGATGGGTGGGGTGGGTGCCCCTAGAGTAGGGAATAGATGCACCCGTTGTGTGGGGTGGGTGCCCCTAGAATGTGGAATGGATGCACCTGATGCGTTGGGTGGGTGCCCCTAGAGTAGGGAATAGATGCACCCGTTGTGTGGGATGGGTGCCCCTAGAATGTGGAATGGATGCACCTGATGGGTTGGGTGGGTGCACCTAGAGTAGGGAATAGATGCACCTGATGGGTGGGGTGGATGCCCCTAGAATGTGGAATGGATGCACCTGATGGGTGGGGTGGATGCCCCTAGAATGTGGAATGGATGCACCTGATGGGTGGGGTGGATGCCCCTAGAATGTGGAATGGATGCACCTGATGGGTGGGGTGGATGCCCCTAGAATGTGGAATGGATGCACCTGATGGGTGGGGTGGATGCCCCTAGAATGTGGAATGGATGCACCTGATGGGTGGGGTGGGTGACCCTAGAGTAGGGAATAGATGCACCTAATGGGTGTGTTGGGTGTGTGGGTGCTCACCGCCAGGCTTCCAGGAGTCTGTTGATGGGGTGGTCTTGGTCTTCCCTGGACATCCCAAGACACAGGACACGATGGTACTGGGCCCACGCTGCGTCCCGGCACTGGGCACTGCAGTACTCGATCTACAGAACATCACAATAGAATTAGACACCAGAAATGTCGGACTTCCATTTTACGAAGAGGTAAGGTTAAGTTTTGTATTTCCCGCATATCTCTCCCACTTTTGGACTCGATCATTCGGCCGCTGTGTTTATGTGTGTATCCCAGCTACATCAATGGGGAACAACTTACCAGACACTTCCCTCTCAAAAAAAACGTTGTCCAATATATAACGTCATCGAGTTCCGAGCGCATAATCGAATCACCAGAAATGATTTCATGATAGAACAAGGTTTTACTGTGAACTAAACCATGCTTCGTTCTTCATTGTCCTTTGCAATTTATTGCGTAGCTATCTCATATTTGGGGGCAAGGGGTGGCCCAGTCGTCTAAGGCGCCGCGATTCGCTGTGCAGAGTTGCGTCCCTTGGGCACGCCAGAAACCCCTTCGCCCCCAATTATGTTTCTAGGTTTGTCAGCACCATACCCTTGCTCATGGGTTTCACTGAAGTGGTAAACATCTGAGACCTGCATCACTTCGAGCTTTCCTCCAACATTAAGCTGACACGCCACGATATAACTGGAATACTGTCAAAAGCGGGGTTAAACCCAACTCACTCACTCACATATCTCATATTTAGAGGTTATTATATAATGGCAGTCTTCATGTCATACCCCATATCAACCCAGAGGTATATGGGGTATGATTCCATGTATGTTCGTAAAACAGTAGGGAAAAAACATGTTCACCTTGTCATGGGAAAGCTAGCCGAGCTGACGACACACCAAGGGGCATAACTCTAAATCCTTACAACCCAGGCCGATATCAATCCCCCATTCAAAATGCATTGATAAACTATATCAGCCCGACAGTGGATGTGATACGAGTCTGGTTATTAGACGCCCTGTGATACGACTGTCTCCATGTTGGCTTTACTGCACATGCAAAATGCCTCATATCATTGATATATGATAAATGGCGTGAGTGAGTGAGTGTGTTGGGTGTAACGCCACTTTTAACAGTATTCCAGTTATATCACGGCGTGTCAGCTTAATGTGGGAGGAAAGCCCGAAGTGATGCAGGTCTCAGACGTTTACCACTTTGGTGAAACCCACGAGCACGGGTATGGTGCTGACAAACCTAGAAACATAATCGGGGTGAACCAGGATTCCAATCCACAATCATCGGTTTCTGGGGAGCCCAAGGGATGCAACTCTGCACAGAGCACGCGGCGCTTTAGACAACTTGGCCACCTGTGCCCCCTGATGATAAATGGAAATATCACACGCCTGAAATATAGCCAACTGACCTGGCACTGTGGACAAACAGCATGGTCCTCCGGCTTGACCTCACAACACTCCGGGTACGGGAGTGTGATACCTTTGTTTTCTGTCAGACGTCGACTGTTTTCTTCCGCTGTTTCCAATGCCTGCATACAGAACTCACACGCCTTGTATTTGTACAGTTCATTCCAGGCAAACTGACATGACACCAGGGGTTTCTCTTCAAAAATAACATCACCTTTCTTGAAAGCTGTCTTTGAAAACAAACCTTTGCCCTGAAATGATGAAAATGATGATAGTGACATGTGGTGTTGAATGATACTTTACAATAGCTGCTTCATTTTCTTTAGCAGTGCCCACTTCACGTTGGTTTATGAAGTAGCTGTGCTACACACTTGCAATGTCTGCCATATATCATCTCCCCAGGGCAAGAGAGTTAACTGACTATAAAAGTCCAGTTTCCACCCTTGCCGAACTAGGCTGGAATTACTGGGCTCGATCGTAGCGTCACTAGTGGCTATAACCAGTTCTAAGCCTCTCCTATGGACCAATCAGATTCCACCTCTCGTATCACTTGCGTTTGCTTCACACAAAATGGTGGCACCCAGTCAAAACGATCTGATCGATAATCAAGATCTATATTGTGATAAAACATGTCTTACATCGCGAAATGCATTAAATCACGTGAGCACCTTGGTTAAAAATATGAATTTTTTTTGGAAAATTTCTACTGACAATGAGTTGGCGGTGCACGTGCTTTGCAAATCCTGCAATTGACCGAAATCTGCATGACAGTTTCCGAACCGGATTTCGATTTCGGTGCGCGAATTTGATTGGACTATGCAGACTCGTTAGTCCAGCCAAAATTTAACTCCATAACACCAGCCTAGTTCAACAAAGGTGGAAACTGGATTTTATAGTCAGTTAACTCACTTGCCTCGGGAAGATGTGCCTGTCATATATCATCTCCTCAGGACAAGGTAGTTGTATGACTGTAAAAGTCCAGTTTCCACCCTTGCCGAACTACCCTGGATTTTCTGGGCTCGATCGTAGCGCCACCAGTGGCTATTACGAGTTAAGTCCCTTCTATGTCCTTCCTATTGTCCAATCAGATTCCACCTCTCATATCACTTGCAATTGCTTCAAACAAAATGGTGGCACCCAGTCAAGACGATCTGATCGATAATCAACATCTGTATTGTAATAAAACGGGTCTTACCTCGCGAGGTGCATCCAATCACATGAGCACCTTGATTAGAAACATGAACAGATTTGCAAAATATCTGTCGACGCCCACTTGGTGGTAAACATGCACTTTGATTTGCACAGTGATTTGATGCACTTTGTGAAGTAAGATCTGTTTTATCACAATATAGATTTTGATTATCGATCATAGTCTTGACAGGGCACTGCCATTTTGTTTGAAGCAAATGCAAGTGATACGAAATGTGTTATCTGCTTGGTCAATAGGAGGGGCATCAAAGGGACATAACTCATTATAGCCACTGGTGGCGCTACGATGGAGCCCAGAAATTCAAGCCAAGGGGTGGAAACTGGACATTTACAGTCAGTTAATTCCCTTGCCCCTAGAAGATGATACATGTGGTGTTATTGTCACATACAGCATGACACAGTAGAACACAGATGTAATGTACTAACAGTCATAACAAAGTATTTCAAGGCCTGACTGCTTTAAGCGTCCGCCCGGACAGCGGAAGGTCTGGGGTTCGATCCCCGACTGCGTGATACCAAAAAGCGTTAAAAGATGGTACTTGTTGTTACCCTGTCTGACGCTCGGCATTAAGGGGCTAAAACAAGGACTGGTCGGCTTGGAGTCAGTATACTGTGTCTGAGTGGGGTATTCATGTGAAACTGCGGCATGGTATCTCAGTGAGCTAGCACTATAAATCGGCATCAGTCCGGACTAGTACAAGTAGCCACACAAACACACACTTGTACATGCGCGTTGCTGTATAAGTGCAATAATCTTGGACGCCACGTTAAACCCCATTTCACCCCACCTCACCTCACTGCTTTAACATAATTTATATGTCTGTTATTTCATCCAGTAATCATGACCACTGTCGACATGATCACTGATTTTGGTTTGGTTTGTAGTTTAAGGCCGCACTCAGCAATATTCCAGCTATATGACGGCGGTCTGTAAATAATCGAGTCTGGACCAGACAATCCAGTGATTAATATCATGAGCATCAATCCATGCAATAAATGCAACAAAAATAATAAATTATAAAAAAAAAATCAAAAAAATCCATGCAATTGGGATACGATGACATGCATCAACCAAGTCAGCGAGCCTGACCACCCGATCCCGTTAGTCGCCTCTTACGACAAGCATAGTTGCCTTTTACAGCAAGCATGGGTTGCTGAAGACCTATTCTACCCCGGATTTTCACGGGTCCACATGATCACTGATTAATTCCAGGCTCGAAAGTAATTATCTAAACATATAGTACACTACAGCATTTCATAACTTAAGACCCCCACTTTTGTAAGTCAAGATAAAACCCTGTCAAGATAAAAACCAGTCCCTGTTTTATCCTTTGAATGATGAGTGCAAGCCTCAAACTGTACATAGATATTCTCACATGAGTAAAGAACAAGTCTAACTCCGTCAGTGTCAATCCCCATCAAAGGTGAAACAAACAATGCCAATGTAATAATCCCAAGGCCAATACAGTCCATAGAGCAGGGAACTTCAATTAGCATGATTAGTATCAGTTCCAATCAGTTGATAATAATCACTTACACCAATCAGTGCTGTAAAAACATTGTCACTGCTTACCATTTCAACCTAAATGTATGTTGCTCAACCCAATCACTGGTTCAGTTCTGATCACTAAAACTATTTCTGAATCAACTGTCATGAATCTGCACGTTTATTACAAGCTTCATGAAACAATCTCCTACTCTTTCTACTGAGGGTGAAATGTAGTGCTGTCATTTGCATTTCTCAGATTGTAAAACTTATTATGTTCCTCTTTATGAGAATACAAACACTTGATATGAACTCAAGTATGTATACATGCATGGTTTTTAGCACATGTTGAATTTGATGGGCTATTTACAGTATTTTCAAGAATACATGGTATAAACATGATATATTTATTCTATTCAAGTTATTGTACACTGTAAATAACATTAAGTGAGTGAGTGAATATGATTTAACGCCGCATTTAGCAATATTCCAACAATATCACGGCGGGGGACACCAGAAATGGGCTTCACACATTGTACCCATGTCGGGAATCAAACCCGGGTCTTCTGTGTAACGAGCGAAAGCTTTAACCACTAGGCTACCCGACCGCCATAATAACATTAAGAATTTGATAGAATCAAAAAAAGTTTTTTTCACATTTTAGGACATTTTCTCAATGAGAGTTAACCATTCTATGACATATGTTTATCCAAAGACCATACTGATATATGGTCTCTTGTTTATCTTTTTCTAAATGTATAGACTCAAATGGAAGAGAAAATATATGTACTATCTTGAATAGACTGTGTAAGATGTGATGAATTGTCACATGGTGCTGGCCTGTGTAAGAGGTACTATGCGGGCCGCATGCAACTCTTGGTTAGAGAGTGTTAATATAACATGACAGTTGAGCCTAGGTCATCCTGACCTAAAATCCACAGGTCATCAATCAACAGGGGAGGAGAGTTTCCTATCTGTTCTCCTATTTATGTATACTGTGCCTGTTTTGAGCCTGTGTCTCTTATTTATGTCTGCACTAAATAATTTGATAAAACAAACATGAATTATATGCCTAATGAAGTATGATAATTTGAGTAGATCAACATGTTCGACTTTACAACAACATATCTTGATTTATTTGGTGATGATAAAGTCTAAGAACAAATTCAATCAACAATGAGGTAATTCTGAAACGATTATTGTCGCAAAATAAAAATGATAATCTCCATAAGCACCTTTAAAGTACCAATTTGTTTGATTTCCACGTTCTCTGCCATGGCGGTCGCCATTTTACCGGAAGAGAGCTTGGACCCGGAAGTGAACAGTAAGTGTATCTCCTGTCACAAAAGAGTTACAAACACTCGGGAGAGACACGTCAACCTCAATTTCTCTTGATATTTCTTTCAAATGTGAAAAAGGAAAAATGTTTTTAGCATCAGAAAACGAATCAACTATCTATGTTTTCTTCACACTCATTTTTCTCTTCTTCTGTCTTCTGCTCGTGGCTCCACCGACCGAGTTTGTATCGGCAGGAATCACCATACAAAACATTTTGTCGAATTTCCTGGGCAGCGAGCAGATGAATTTTGTGTACTACCACATCAGAAGGACAACTGCGACACTTCTTGTACATTCCCTGTTTCCACTTGGTAAGAATGATGACACGGGACAATCAAATGAGTACTTTGGCGGTTTCTGATAATTGATAAATACTACATTTTTGATTATACCTTCGACATTAAACAGAAATCGTTTTAGGCGATGTAGAGTAGTTTATTTGGATTTACTTGATACTATTACTCAAATTACTGCCATATGATCACTTAATGAAATCATGAGTTGATATAAAATAATGCATGATCATGTAATATCTTCAAGTAGAGTTCATGAGTTGTTTTAAACGATCTCATCAATTTACTGACCAGTGTTACACTCTGTTGTGAAAACATGAATAATCTTTTAATTTATCCTAAAGATGAAACCTTTCAGTGTTTTTGTTTCAAACTAATCTAATCGTGAGTAGTAAAACTCAGTGTCAACTTAATACATGTACAACATGCAGGTTTGTGTGCCATCACTGTCACAATGCATGTGTGCATATACATGATATAGTGTTATAGTGTTACTGCAATAAACTCTCTCTCTCTATAGTGTTATGAACTGTTATCCAATGAAAATATAATATAATTAACATGACACAATACTTGAGTTTGTCTATTTTATTTATTGTGTTGCCGTTATGACTTTTTTGTTGTGGCTGTTATGGTTATTTTTTGTGGCCGTTTTCACTATGTGCTGTGTCTATTTTAATTTTTTCTGTGGCCGTTTTGACTTTATCTTATGTGGCTGTGTTGAAAATCGAAATTTGAACAGAAAATGTTCATGACATTTTAAAGTCTTGCGTAGATTTCAACATGTTTTTAATAAACAGGAAAATCATGCTTACCTATATCATGTATATATAACAATATGATTTATCAGTAATATATAATTAAATTGCAAGTGATTCTGTGGCACTTGATTGGCTAACCAAGTGATTCTTTTTGCGTTTATGTTTCCATGAACCTAAAAAAATATGCCACATTAACAAACAAAATTCTGTTTGCTGATTGTCTGATAACAGAATGGGCGGGGCTTGTGTTGTATTATTGTCATAAACAATGTCATGTATTTCATATTGTTGTCAACAGCTATAAACAGTCTGTGAAGTTATTATTGTTGACATGTTTGTTTATACGAATTGACTTCAATATGTTTTTGTTAATCATGTTTATGGTGTTACAATGTAAAAACCTGTATGAAAACACTGCTCATTTATCCTTTAGATATTTACACAGCGTGCACACTTTGCATATATTTTCTATAGCTACCCATTTTTACACAGTGTGCACAATGGCATTTAAGTGTATACCTCCATGAATTCAAAAAGTATTGATGTCAATTCTTAACTGAACATGAAAGCTTGTTTACGATAATTCTTCATTGTGAAAATTTTCTTCATTTAATTTCAGCTTACTATACCACCTTGGGTTTGTTTTCACCTGAACTGGACCTTTTCTATCCTTGGCTGATTGACCGTAAAGGTCAGATATTCCTGGCATTCTCATTGGTTCTCCCAACTCTGGCAGGCCTCCTGTGTTTATTTTGGTATCGTGACAAGTGGAACAACCACCCGATCTCCAGGCAGCTTTCATACCTCGTCAATGACTCGACTTCCAGCTGGAGATCAGTCGCATCTTCTATAGATGTTGAGTTTCGGAGGTTTGATAAGTTCACAACCGGACCCTACGGGCGGAGACTTATTGTGACAGATTCTTGGATGATGAGAACCTCGACGTACTTTGTGAACATAGCTCACCAGCAGGACATTCACCTCACACTCGCGGGGTCTGAGGAACATGAGATCTCCTATGAGAATACCATACCATCGCAGTATCTGCACATTTCTGTTGGAGTTGTCAACCCAAAGATCAGTTCATTTGATGTCAGGTATTTATTTTTAATTTCATACAGCCCCCATTATGGGTAAGAATAGGTCCCCAGTACCCCGTATTATCTTCGAAGGTAAAGGGAGTTAACTCACTGTAATAGTCCAGTTTCCAACCTTGCCGAACTAGACAGGAATTATGGTGTTATATTTTGGCTGGACAAACAAATCTATGCATAGTCCAATCAAAATTGTGTAACGAAATCGACATCTGGTTTATAAACTGCAAGTGCATACTTTGGTTGAATGCATGATTATTAAAGCATGTGTACCGCCAACTCAGTGTGAACAGATATTTTCCAAATCTTTTCATGTTATTAATCAAGGTGCTCACAGTGATTTGATGCTCTCCACGAAGTAAGACCCGTTTTATCACAATATAGATTTTGATTATTGATCATAGTCTTGACTGGGTGCTGCCATTTTGTTTGAAGCAAATGCAAGTGATATGAAATGTCTTATCTGCTTGGTCAATAGGAGATGCATCAAAGGGACATAACTCATAATAGCCACTGGTGGCGCTATGATAGAGCTCAGAAATCCCAGCCTAATTCGGCAAGGGTGGAAACTGGACTTTGACAGTCAGCTAACTCCTTGCCTATGGAAGATGCTAAGCTTTAGACAAAGATAATATCAAATACATGACCGATGTGCTCATTGCACTGATAATTTGTATATGGTGAATAAAGGCTCTATTTGTATTATATTTAGATTTAAAAAAGTGCAATCAAACAACTATTCTGTGTTTGGTCTAGACTGAATGCTACAGAGTTTGGAGACCTCAAAGAGAAGCTGCAATCACCAGTGCGAAATGCTCGCAACATCGTCATCAAGCAGTCTATGAGTGACCAGTTCCTCGAAGCCTTCCGACAACAAGTGAACAGTAACCCCCCCTTCACCCCACCTCCTTCGATGGTATGTGCCAGTGATGTTCTCATGATTCACCTGTGACACCGAATGTTTATTTCAAATCTTAAAAGTTTTTATTAAGTCTACAGATTACTAAACATGATTATTCCTCATCAGTAGGAGTGTAACGGTATATCAAACTATTGATGTTTTGCAATTGTTGCCATACGATAGTACAACACCGATAGGAATTTAACAATAGTATTGTTGATAGAATACATAGCAATCGATAGTTTCAATAGTTCCAATTAGATGTTAATAAAATATAAATTATGTGAATTTAAAACCAGCCTGTGTCTTTGTTAGCAAGGGTTACGACAAGTTCAGCTTGGAGTTACTTCCCTTTGGTTTAACTTCAAATTAGAGTTACTTCCCTTTGGTTTAAGTTGTGACACGGAGGAAAATGGACAACTTGAGATTGTCAGCAATACTTTATTCATTTCCATTATATTGATTTATATAATTATCAAGCCATAAAGTTGTTTTACTACTATCGCAGTGCTATTGCAATAGTTGACAACTATAGCGATACTATTGTAATTGTGTGGGCTACTTCGATGTGATAATTTTTGGTGACATCCCTCTTTCGCTTTATCATTATTTCATTCCCTCGTCCATTAATCTCACCAGCCCACCCTCACCTATAATAAATGACCTGTCTTTTGGCTTAAAAAAATAAAAGAGTTGGTTCTCAGGCAATGACTTTTGAAAATATAGTCTGGGAGGGCTGGGTTTTTTGTTTTTCTTGTTCAAACTAGTATGTAACCAAACAAACAATTGTGTACCATCAACCTGGGAAAGGGCCTCCCTACATACAAACTCCTATTGCTGCCATGACCATAAGACCCGTGAAGATTCCGGGATAGAATAGGTCTTCAGCAACCCATGCTTGTCGTAAAAGGCGACTTTGCTTGTCGTAAAAGGCAACTAACGGGTTTGGGTGGTCAGGCTCACTGACTTGGTTGATGCATGTCATCGATCCCAATTGCATGGATTGATGCTCATGATATTAATCACTGGATTGTCTGGTCCAGACTCGATTATTTACAGACCGCCGTCATATAGCTGGAATATTGCTGAGAGTGGTGTAAACAACAAACAAACCAACCATGACCATGAAACAAGATACCCAGTTAAGCAGTGTGCATGTATAGGGAAGTACCTGTATGCTATATTGGCTCGCGTTGGTTTTTAGTTTAAGGATTTTTTTTTAATAAATTGAAAATGGAAATGGAAACAGAATGTGCGGCAGACTTTATGATGATGCGGGCGGTGCCTGAGAACCAAGACTGTTATTGTTTTTTAGCCTTAAGGTGACAATTTGCAGATATAATGTTTGTGATGCTTCTCCTCATTACCTTGCCATGTCCAGTGTGTGCTGAAGTGTGTTTGTCTGTGACAGGAAGTGGAGGCGTGTATCGGCTGCATGCAGCTGCCGGCCAATGTGAAGCTGCAGAAGCTGTGTGACAACCTGACGGAGGGCAGCTGTGTCCAATGCTTCTGTCGGCCCATGTGGTGTCTCGAGTGTATGGGGAAGTGGTTCGCCAGTCGCCAGAACCAGAGTGAGCCGGAAACATGGATGAGCAGCATGTCACCATGTCCGACGTGCCGGTCGAAGTTTTGTGTGTTGGACGTCTGCAAAATTGTTAGCTGATGTATTCTTGAGGCAACCGACATCTGTAAAGACTTGACTCCTCGAGAAACATTGGTGTGTTGGACATCTGCTGTTTGCTAATGTTTTCCTGCAACTTACATTACACATTCTATTGTGATCAGTATCCTGGAACAAAACACAACAATAGCTTCATTTTGAGTCGAACAGCATGATCCTAAAAAATAGTTATCGAAATATTTTTAGCGATACCACTAGTCGTCAATACCGTCTCAACTGGGAAAATCCTGTAGCAAAAGTTTCTCCCTCCCAGTCTTTCTACTCAGGAAAATGAGTAGGTCTGTGTTTCAATCCCCAACTGTGTCATGCCAAAAAACGTTAATAGATGGTACTTGTTGTCATCCCGTCTTGTGCTGGCATTAAGGGGATAAAACAAAGACCTTGTTGGCTCGGAGTCCGTATGCTGTGTCCGAGTGGGGGATCCAATATCGATGAAAGACTGTGTCATGGTATCTCCGTGGGCTGGCGCAATAAAATTGGTATTCGTCCCGACTAGTACAAGCAGCCACACACATTGCACGTTCTTGTAAGTGCACTCATCTTGGCATTGACTGATGTCAAACCCCATTTCACCTCACATCACCAACTCAGGAAAATATCTATTTCTGGCTAATAGTATGTTTTGTCAAGCTCATGACTGAGATATATCTGTTGAAAGTTATAGGTACAAGAGTCGGAGACAGTGATGTCACTTTCGATACAAAGCTATAGTTTTGTATGGGTCCAGGATATTTATCATAATAGAATGGAGGTATTACTTGATGGAGGATGGGTTTGCAGGGTTCAATCAGATATCTGTCAACATTACGTTGTCTGGGATACATGGGTGTGTTGGACATCTGCAGGAAGTGTTCACAAGTGTATTCCTTGGGCCTCTTTGGCAGACATCTTTCAACAATGTGCAGCCTGACAAACACGGACATAATGATTTGAAGTATCTGGGCCCACTTGCACAAAACGATCTTAGCGCTTAGACTCGTAAGCCTATGTTTAAGTATGGGAGTTAAGATCATCTTAGTGCTAAGATCGCTTTGTGCAAGTGGGCCCTGGTCTGAGGAATGTGTGTTCACTACATTCGAGTTGTTATTTGTTTGTTTGCTTGTTAATGCTGCATTCCAGTTATATGATGGCAGCCTGTAAATACGAACAAGACGAACTGTGTGGATGGTAAGATCAAAGTCACAAATCAGTGGGTGAGAATGACACACGATCAACACAGGTTGCCAAGCTTGTCCCCGCTGATCCATGCAGTCATCTCTTCCGATGCTGCATCTTCCAGAGGCAAGAGAGTTAACTGACAATAAAAGTCCAGTTTCCACCCTTACTGAACTAGGCTGGTACATGTATAATGGAGTTACGTTTTGGCTGGACTAATGAGTCGATGCATAGTCCAATCAAAATCGCGCAACGAAATTGAAATCCGGTTTGTAAACTTTCGTGCAGATTTCGGTCGATTGCAAGATTTGCAAACCCAACAGATATTTTCCAAATCTTTTCATGTTTTTAACCAAGGTGCTCATGTGATTTGATGCATTTCACGACGTAAGACCCGTTTTATCACAATATAGATCTTGATTATCGATCAGATCATCCTGACTCGGTGCCGCCATTTTGTTTGAAACAAATGCAAGTGATACGAGAGGTGGAACCTGATTGGTCCATAGGAGAGGCTTAGAAGGGACAGAAATCGTAATAACCACTGGTGGCGCTACAATCGAGCCCAGGAATTCCAACCTAGTTCGGCAAGGGTGGAAACTTGACTTTTAAAGTCAGTTAACTCTCTTGCCTCTGGAAGATGACGATCCTGGTGATGGAGATCATTATTCACACTGAATTCCCACAGGGTCAGATTTGAGGATTGCAGGTTGAAACCAGATTGTCTTGAAGATGTTTTGTGTATATGTTAAAGGCAAGTTTAACTGGTACTAACATTGGGTACATGTGCTATGTTAACAAAATGATCATGCCTTGAAACAGACTTAAAATAAATACATCTTTGCTAACTTTTGAGTTATTCAAAATATCTTGATTTTTTTTCCCACAATTCAAAGATGATTTCCCTAATATTGATTTGAAGAAGTGTTTTTTTTAATTATTTTGGTAAATATTTTAGTCTGATTATTGCTTACAGAACATATTTATTTGTTGTTATGTGAAGAGGTACATGGGTAAGATGCATAACAAGATTGTATAGAAATGTACAATAAAATGCCTAATGGTGGCATGTGGTCTGTTGTACTGCGCCAAAGTTAAGCAACGTTGGTCACAGAGAGTCCTTGGATGGGTGACTGCATTCGACAGCTTGGCGCCTGAGAGTTTCTAGGGCTTCGGTCCTGCCCCACACTGAAGCACATGTAACACATGTGGTGTCTCCTTGGGCAAGTGACTTTGTTGGAAATATGCCTCTGTTCAGCCAGCAGTGAATGGGTACCCGGTAGGATGAGATGGTAATGTGACTATTAACCTTCTTGTGCCTCACAGGCAGCATGGGTTGTATACTCCCCAGGGAGCTGAGAATGACAATTGACTGCACACTGATCCATTGACTGGCTAGTAATTAATTCTCTGTGCACGGTGTGCTTGATATCCAGTATTGAAAAGCGGCACACAAATGGACTATTATAAAGATTCAGATGTTGAAACTGGGATGATAGCTCAACTTCTTCAAGTGAGTGAGTGAATATGGTTTTATGCCGCTTTTAGCAATATTCCAGCAATATCACGGCGGGGGACACCAGAAATGGGCTTCACACATTGTACCCATGTCTGGAATCAAACCCGGGTCTTCAGCATGACGACCAAACGCTCTAACCACTTGGTCACCCGACCGTCCCTCAACTTCTTCAAATGTAATTTTGACCTGAAAGATCTATTATTTTTATCCAAGCTGGAACATGACTATAAGTTGAATTCTATTGATTCTATTTAAATGTATTCCCCTGCTGTAGCCCTGAATCATCCATTATCATCACATTCTCTTCATCGAGAGGAGACCCGTGAAGATTCCGGGGTAGAATAGGCCTTCCGCAACCCATGCTTGCCGTAAAAGGTGACTATGCTTGTCGTAAAAGGCTTCTAACGGGATCGGATGGTCAGGCTCGCTGACTTGGTTGATGCATGTCATCGATCACAATTGCATGGATCGATGCTCATGATTTCAATCACTGGATTGTCTGGTCCAGACTCGATTATTTACAGACTGCCGTCATATAGCTGGAATATTGCTGAGTGCGGCGTTAAACAACAAACCAACCAACCAGCCAATCACCAAGAGGAAATCTGTATCTGCTTAAAAGTAATTTATAATTACCCTTTAAATAACTGTTATCATGAAGTTTGAAGACCATGTTTGTACTTTTCTGTATGCTTTAATTATTTGAGGCACACTAACAAAAGTAAAAAAGAAGTCAAATTTCAAATGTGGTGGTGGTCAGTTCTTAGAAATGTTTTTAACTGGTAAAAAACATGCTGATACAAACATGACTTTTAATTATGTGTGCTTTTTCAAGCAATGTGAACATAGTCGATCAAACGGGACTATTGTTATCAAATTTTATAAGCTGTTGTAGTTTTGTGAACTATCAACATTGTTATATATTCCAGGTAAAATGGATCCGGAAATACATGACCTAATAAAACATGCATCTGTTGTCATAGTTGTGTTTCTGTGTTGCCAATAGACCCCTGAAGATCTTGGGTAGAATAGGTCTTCAGCAACCCATGTTTGCCACAAAAGGTGACTATGCTTGTCGTAAGAGGCGACTACGGGATCGGGTGGTCAGGCTTGCTGACTTGGTTGATGCATGTCATCGTATCCCAATTGCGTGGATGGATGCTCATGATGTCAATCACTGGATTGTCAGGTCCAGACTCGATTATTTACAGACCACTGTCATATCGCTGGAATATTTCTGAGTGTGGCGTTAAACAACAAACCAACCAAGAAACAAAACCCAAAAAGTGTTGCTCATAGTTTTGTGTGACTGGTGTAAGGGAGACAACTCTCATGTTGACCTGTGACAAGATCAAGCACAAATGAATGAATGTAATGGGGATGAATGTCAGTTACAAGTGAATGTGGAACTATTGTGTGGGTCGTCACGATTTGCAATTCCAGAACACAACATGTGCAGACTTGAGTAATTCTTTCAATAACATATCTGAGGCAGTCATGGTTTCATACAGCCGAACCCTCCGTCATCTCGAATGTATCAATATAAATTAGCATGTTTATCTTGAAATCGAGATAAAAATACATACTGCTATCTAAACCTAGAAGAGGGTCCCAACTTGACCAGAGAATTGTGTACTTTTATCTCAAAGCTGGCATTGCCACATTAACAGTTTTGAGAAATGCAAGTATATCTAGTACCGTTCTCCATACATCTAACATCTCTGCAAAAGTACAGAGCAATTTAAACCAATCGTTTGAGCAATTTAAACCAATTGTTCAACCAGTAATGCTCCCAAACTGCAAAGACCCGTGAAGATCAGGGGTAGAATAGGTCTTCAGCAACCCATGCTTGCTGTAAAAGGCAACTATGCTTGTCGTAAAAGGCGACTAACGGGATCGGGTGGTGAGGCTCGCTGACATGGTTGATGCATGTCATCGATCCTAATTGCGTGGATCGATGCTCATGATATCAATCACTGGATTGTCTGGTCCAGACTCGATTATTTACAGACCGCCGTCATATAGCTGGATTATTGCTGAGTGCGGCATAAAACAACAAACCAACCAAACCAACCTACCCAAACTACAAAGAACTATTGATGATGAACATTTTATTTACACTATGTACAGTGTTTTGAAAAGTGCAGGTTATTTTTTCTTCTTCTTCTTGAGCTTGTTGTAATCGCCCTCCTGGTTGGCAAGATGGCCGTAGAGGACCTTGACCTTTCTCTTCCTGTCCGAGTCTCTGCAACACCATAGGACATTCACGTGATGTGAGGAGATACATACAGCACTTGGGTAAATACAATCTCATTAAAATCAGATCTTAGTTCTCGCTACAGCTAAACAAAGATCTGAGGACATCCCAATACGGGTCACGTCAGACCGACCTTGCGCGAACTTTGACCGACTAATGGAATGACCAATCAGAAGGCAGCTATCTCGTGCTTTAAGGTACTAATTTCAAATTGGCGACTACGCTTCAAAACATATTTTGACAAATTTTCAATTACAAATTTGAAACCTGAACAAAAGAACATTCTAGAATGGCTAATAGATGGTCTAGATTGTATGGATTCAGTTGTTAAACCCGTAACTATCATTCGGAGTTAAAGTTTTCAGGGTTGCATGATTAGAAATCACATTCCGACTGTCACTTTCATAATCTGGTAAGCGATGCTCTGATTGGTCGGATGAAAGGTCGTTCTGATGTGACCCCTAATGGGATGTCCTCAGATGTTTGTTTAGCGGTAGCGAGAACTGAGGTCTGATTTGAATGAGATTGACCCTCGTGTCTTTTGATATGAAATATATCAACACGAGTTGATATCAAAAGACACGAGGGTGAGATTTTATTTATCATCCAAATAATAACTGCTCCGGCAGGCGGGGAGTACTGAATGGTTCCTACTCCTAGTGTTAGTGTTAGTGTTAGTGTGTGTTAGAGTGTGTGTGTGTGTGTGTGTGTGTGTGTGTGTGTGTGTGTGTGTCTGTGTGTGTGTCTGTGTGTGTCTGTGTGCGCTTGTACTAGTCCGGACTGATGCCCATTTATAGTGTTAGCACAATGAGATACCATCCTGCTGCAATTTAACATGAATACCACACTCGGACACAGTATTCTGACTCCGAGCCGACCAGTCCTTGTTTTAGCCCCTTAATGCCGAGCGCCACAGAGGGTAACAACAAGTACCATCTTTTAACGTCTTTTGGTATGACGAGGATGGGGATCCAACCCCGGACCTTCCGCGCTCCGGGCGGACGCTCTACCACAAGACCACGGAGGCGGTCACCGGTGCATGAAAACAGCCAGACCTTGACTATCTAACACTACAGAACAACTACTGGTCAAAAGTAGAAGCAAAGTATTTTGTTTGATGCGCTGAAAACAGGAAAAATGAGTTCAGTTTAAATCTCCAGTATTTCAGAGATATTAATGCGGAGTGCCTGGCAGGGTAACAACAAGCACCATCTTTTAACGTCTTTTGGTATGACGCAGCCGGAGCTTCCGCTCTCCCAGGCGGATGCTCTAACACTAGGCCACAGAGAGGGTGTGAACAATACAAGTAGTCTGCTACGTGGCCCACCTCTCCATCGTCTCCTGCTGCTGATGCCGGGCCAGGAACTGCGAGTCCTTCCTTATCTCCCTCATCGCCCCCTTCATCTCCTTCTTCACCTTGTGCAGCAGCCGCTGCTTCTCATTGTACGCCTTGCTGCCACCGCCACTCTTCTTCTTCTGGCCGTCCCACCTAGAAGACACAGGAGACACATCATCAGTTCAGTACACACACATCCTGAATACATGGCAGACACACACCATCTGTACACATGGCAGACACACTATGACTGAAACCAAAAAAGTTCAACATGGCCCTAATCTAATTTATATAATAACAGCATTTCTAGGTAGAAACTGCCAAATTTATGAACAATAGTTCATTATCTTTAGAGCATGTGAACAAAATATTCACTGAAGCATGGTTAGACACTCACAATATGTTGCAAGTTAGTTTGAATATGACCCTGCTCCTGTTTAATGAAACCTGATGCAATTTGAACATGTCATCTTCCCAAGGCAAGGAAGTTAACTGACTATAAAAGTTCAGTTTCCAACCTTGCCGAACTAGGCTGGACTAACAAGTCTATTCATCGTGTAACAAAATCAACATCCGGTTTGCAAACTGCAGTGCAGATTTCAGTCGATTGCAGGATTTGCAAAGTATGTTTACTGCCAACTCGGCGTCAATGGATATTTTCCAGGTGCTAACATGATTAGATGCAATTCGTAAAGTAACATGATGGAACATGTAGACTTACGTTTCTTCTATCAGGGGTTCAAACATCTTCAGAGGCTTGGGTTTCACCCTGTTGAAGACAAGGCTCTTCCTGGCCTTCTGACTCTCTCCCTTCAGGTACTCCTGCAGACCACTCACAGAATCCTGGGGAACAAAGGGAGACAACTGCAGGACTGAGAGGCTATTTGCTGATGAACCACACTTAAAATCTACAAATTCCAAACAGTGACTGAGCTAAGGTTTAGCCCCGCTCTGTGGGAGTAGAGCCTTAATGTGATTTGGCATCAGTTTTCAGTCTCGGTCTAGCCATTGTCAGACAATATTTCTGATTACACGACTATACCATTTGTTTGTTTGCTTAACGCCACACTCAGCAATATTCCAGCTATATGACGGCGGTATGTAAATAATTGAGTCTGGACCAGATAATCCAGTGTTTGACATCATGAGCATCCATCCATGCAACTGGGATACGACGTATGCATCAACCAACAGACAGATAACGCAGCATAGTTCCCCTTTAAGCACTAATGGGCAGGAGCTGTGAATGTCGTGGGTAGAATAGATCTTCAGCAACCCATGCATGCTGTAAAAGGTGATTATGCTTGTCGTAAGAAGCGACTAATGGGATCAGGTTGTCGGGCTCGCTGACTTGGTTGATGCATGTCATCGATCCCAAATGCGTGGATCGATGCTCATGATGTCAGTCAGTGGATTGCCTGGTCCAGTGATTATTTACAGACCGCCGTCATATGGCTGGAATATTGCTTAGTGCGACGTTAAACAACAAAATTACAAATGAGCAGCAGGTTGCTTGAGGGCAACTCAGGGATCCTGGGGTAAACATACCTTGAGGTGTGTTGGGTAGTGGGAGGTTGGCAGTCTGTCACACATGTACAGTACAGGGGAGAATATGTCTGTGTGTGCCGGCAGGTCGCTGTACAGTCGGGAGAACTCCTGCAGGAGACTCACACAGCAGTGAATCAGACACAGTCTGTAGGGAAAAGGATACATCAGTTAGTCACACATGTACAGTACAGGGGAGAATATATCTGTGTGTGCCGGCAGGTCGCTGTACAGTCGGGAGAACTCCTGCAGGAGATTCACACAGCAGTGAATCAGACACAGTCTGTAGGGAGAGAATACATCAGTTAGTCACACATGTACAGTACAGGGGTGAATATATCTGTGAGTGCCGGCAGGTCGCTGTACAGTCGGGAGAGCTCCTGCAGGAGAGTCACACAGCAGTGAATCAGACACAGTCTGTAGGGAGAGAATACATCAGTTAGTCACACATGTACAGTACAGGGGTGAATATGTCTGTCGGTGCCGGCAGGTCGCTGTACAGTCGGGAGAACTCCTGCAGGAGACTCACACAGTAGTGAATCAGACACAGTCTGAAGGGAGAGAATACATCAGTTAGCAGGGTATGATTACATTCTGTTTTACCACTTGCACCAGGTTAATTAATCAGGCTGCACAACCAAAATACTGGCTGCACCAGTTTACTATAAATTCAAACACTGTATTTTTAGCTAATTCCAATATAAAATAAATTCAAAGAGGACATGAATTTGAGAATGTGCTCCAGCATAAATCTGTAAATGACTTTTCACATCTTAAACCAGTAAACAACCTGGCAAAGAAGTTTCAAAGTGTCTGTTTGATGTGAGTGACTGTTCAAGTAGTTACTGTGAAGAATTAGATCCGCAAGTTCACTGCATTTGGACCACCTGTGTATTTCACTAATTTCATAAGCTTTTGTTTCCTGGATTCAAAAAGACTTGCAGCCAAACTTAATGAATTCAGTTTAATTATCAAACATAACTGCAGTGGTGGGAAATGTTACCTGCACTGGGTGCATCCTGGCACACATGCACGTGTGCATGCTATATACATATATATGTGCAATAATCTTGGACTGACGTTAAACCCCATTTCACCTCACCTCATTCGACTCGAACTAGGGAAATATTTTGTCCCAGAATACCACACTGAAGACCTGATTGAATTTGATTTGATTAACATAGAAAAGAGGTGAGGTGAAATTGGGTTTAACGACACGTCCAAGATAATTGCACTTTCATAGCGACGTGCATGCATGTGTGTGTGTGTGTGGCTGCTTGTACTAGTCCGGACTGATGCCAATTTATAGTGCTTGCACACTGAGATACCATGCCGCAGTTTAACATGAATACCCCACTCAGACACAGTATACTGACTCTGAGCCGACCAGTCCTTGCTTTAGCCCCTTAATGCTGAGTGCCAGACAGAGTAACAACAAGTACCATCTTTTAACGTCTTTTGGTATGACGCGGCCGGGGATCAAACGCCGGACCTTCTGCTCTCTGGGCAGGCGCTCTACCACTAGACCACGGAGGCCGTCTAACATTGAAAAGAAGAATACTATTGCATGTCATAACATCTGCAAAAGACATACTTGAATTGTGAGCTTGAAAGATCTCCTCTCTCCACAGCCACTCCGAACACTTGACTCAACTTCATCCCCTCAAAGCTACATGATCTGCAAGAACAAACACAGTTTTTCCATACCGCATCTGATATTGCTGGTCCCAGATAATACTCCTACACTTTTCACATGGTGCCACAATGAGAATATGTGTGTAAATGATTTCTCAAAGACTGAACTAAGATCAAGTCATCTTTTTCTACAATCATAGGCTGCTGTGAGTCTGGACCAGACAATCCTGTGATTGATATTGTGAACAACGATCCACACCTCAGGGTACGATGACGCAATCAACAAAGTCACTGTGCCTGACCACCCGATCCATTTGGTCGCCTCTCGCTAGGCGGTCTGTTTGTTTGTTGTTCAATGCCGCACTCAGCAATATTCCAGCTATATGACGGCGGTCTGTAAATAATCAAGTCTGGATCAGACAATCCAGTGGTTGACATCATGAGCATCGATCCACGCAATTGGGATATGACGACATGCATCAACCAGGTCAGTAAGCCTCACCACCTGATCCCGCTAGTTGCCTCTTATGACAAGCATAGTCACCTCTTACGACAAGGATGGGTTGCTGAAGACCTACTCTACCCCAGATTTTCACAGGTCAAGTGGACTGTTGTAGCCGATTGTTACTGTATAAGTAAGCTGATTGGCTGAATCCCCATGGGTACACATGTCTCTCGTCAACAACACATTACATGGAAAAAGGACATAAATCTTTCCTCCCACACAGTGGAGGATAAGTTAGTTGTAGCCACTGGCTTAGGCTTGTTTGCAATCAAACACAAGTGTGTCTATATCAGACAGTCTTGGGTCATGATTTCAGTTTCTATCTGCAAGTTTTCATCCCTGACAGTACAGACAGCTACTTCTGGGGGCTGACTTGCAATACGAACTGAACTGTTTGTTTGTTTGTTTGTTAAATGCCCTGTGCCTCCCTATATAACTGATGAGTAAAAAACTGGACTACAGTATTTGACTACCATTGGACTTGGAATATTTACGGATTTTCATTTCTTTTTAAAAATGGAACTAAAAACGAAACGCGGGAGAACTTTATGAGGATGTGGGCGGTGCCTGAGAACCAAGACTTTTATAATTTGTTTTAGCCTTAATATTATATGCCTATGCCAAGATACTGATGAAAAATCTTTGCTACTAATCATATATCTGCCATACTGAAGTTAAAGGAAACAATCAGCGTTAAATTCTTTTAGTCAATGTGAAAATAACAGGGTACACGTACAAAGAAGAAATCACCGTAACGCTGTGACCTTCTGGAAAACCTATGTATGTGAAGCTCCAGAGCTCCAGATAAGCTGCATATCTGCGTAAAATATGCATCAGAAATGCAGAAATACGCAGTAAAATAAAATCCAAGCGTATCAAATACGCAACGAACATTACAGATACGCTACAAAAATAAAACTTGTGTGTATAATCAAAATATTGTGAAGTAACCCTGCGTATTCGATAAGCAAATCAGCAACTTATTTTGAAATTATAAACGTGCATTCCGTCAACTTTGCCAAACTCCACGATGACAGTTACATCATGATCATTTGCCATCACACTTTCTTGTGGAAGTATCGTGGTATTTTTCAGTCCTATAAAGCTCTCGAACCCACACGACACCAGTTAGCAGGCTAGATGAATAGTGTTTTTAAATATTTAACTTAAATACCCACATGTGTAAAAACTAGTGGGTAACAGAAATTTGAATACCCAGATAGAATTACTGATACACAATGATTATAAAATGCATGGGTAAAATACCCACAACACCAAAAGCTTATCTGGAGCTCTGAAGCTCTGCTGATTCTTTAGTGTCGAGAGGTACTTGCACCAACAGAGTTAAGGATGACAGTGAAACTAGCTGGTTTACCTTGACTTCTTATCACTTATATGAAGCAGGTTGATGGACTTTCCTACTGGTTTGAAAGGACCTGAGACTCTCTCAACTGAAACGAACAGAGTAAATTAATTGGTATGTGTGAAGAGTGAGTGTGTTGGCCCATCTTCAGGAAGAAGGGGCTGAATACATTGTACTCTCTTAGAGAATAGAATAGATGTTTGTTTGTTTCATGTTGTTAAAAGCCGCACTCAGTAATATTCCAGCTACATGACGGTGTCCTGTAAATAATCGATTCTGGACGAGACAATCTAATGACTGATGTCACGAGCATCGATCCACGCAATTGGGATACAATGACATCCATCAACCGAGTCAGAGAGCCTGACCACCCGACCACCTCGAGGATGTGAGTGAGTGAGTGGGTGGGTTGGGTGGGTTGGGTTGGTTGGTTGGTTGGTTGGTTGGTTTGTTGGTTGGTTAACGCCGCACTCAGCAATATTCCAGCTATATGATGGCGGTCTGTAAATAATCAAGTCTGGACCAGACAATCCAGTGATTAATATCATGAGCATCGATCAACGCAATTGGGATCGATGACATGTATCAACCAAGTCAGCGAGCCTGACCACCCGATCCCGTTAGTCGCTTTTACAACAAGCATTGTCGCTTTTTACGGCAAGTATGGGTTGCTGAAGACCTATTCTACCCTGGAATCGAGTGTGTGAGTGAGTGAGTGCTTTTGTATCTGAATGAAAGGGCCCACTTTTAACATTATTGTCATATTGTCATGCTTTGATGCCCAATTTCGAACAGTGCCTTAGATCAACACGCTTTAGCTTGTTTGCAATCAAACACAAGTGTGTCTATATCAGACAGTCTTGGGTCATGATTTCAGTTTCTATCTGCAAGTTTTCATCCCTGACAGTACAGACAGCTACTTCTGGGGGCTGACTTGCAGTATATGAAGTGTGGTATTACTGTCCAGAGTCTTAAAAAATCAGATCTGTTTGTTTGTTTGTTTGTTTGTTTGATACCCCTGAACCCAGTATTCCATCTGAAGACAATCCAGGGAAAATACCATTCAGGGAATGATGACACTTAATCAACAAGTCATCAGTGATGAAGCCTGACCATGCAATCCATTGAGTCACCTCTTACACCTGTGCATGTGAATATATGTTTCCAGTTTTTGCACCATACCTGTTAATTCCATCACCTTAGTGTATCCTCCTGCATCAATGTGGTGCGTGCGTGCGTGCGTGCGTGCGTGCGTGCGTGCGTGCGTGCGTGAAATGACACATTCATGCTGGAGAACGCTTCTGTGGTCTGGTGGTGTGCGGGCCGCATCATACCAAAGGACGTTAAAAGATGGTACTTGTTGTTACCCTGCCTGGCTCATGGCATTAAGGGGTTAAAGCAAGGACTGGTTGGCTTGGAGTCAGTATACTGTGTCTGAGAGGGGTATTCAACTGAGGCATGGTATCTCAGTGGGCTATTAGTCCGGACCAGAACCAGCAGCCACACACACAAACACGTGCATGCACGACACGGCGTTAAACCCCCATTTCATCTCACCTCATTTGAGTTGACTCCAACTAGGGAAATTCTTTGTCCCAGAATACAATTCTTAATTTGATGTCAAGTTGAGGTGAGGTGAAATGGGGTTTAACGTCGCGTCCAAAATTATTGCACTTATATAGCGACGTGCATGTACATGTGTGTGTGTGTGTTTGTGTGGCTGCTTGTACTAGTCCGGACTGATGCCAATTTATAGTGCTAGCTCACTGAGATACAATGCTGCAGTTTAACATGAATACCCCACTCAGACACAGTATACTGACTCCAAGCCGACCAGTCCTTGTTTTAGCCCCTTAATGCCGAGCGCCAGACAGGGTAACAACAAGTACCATCTTTTAACGTCTTTTGGTATGACGCGGTCGTGGATCGAACCCAGGACCTTCCACTCTCTGGGCGGACGCTCTACCACTAGACCATGGAGGCGGTCTTTGATGTCAAGGACATCACACAGTGTCTTCATGGATACATGTGCAGAAACCATGAAATCGAAATCATCCGGTGGTCTAACATTGGAAGGAAGAATACTCTTGCAAAAGACATATTTGAATTGTGAGCCACATTCATGCAGGAGGATAGGCCGAAGTGATGGAAGTAACAGGTATGGTGTGGTTTGGTTTGGGTGATTACTTGTTTTACGCCGCACTCACCAATATTGCAGCTATATGACGGCAGTATGTAAATAATCAATTCTGGACCAGACAATCCAGTGATTGACATCATGAGCATCGATCCACACAATTGGGATCGATGACATGCATCAATCAAGTCAGCGAGCCTGACCACCCGATCCCGTTAGTCGCCTTTTACAACAAGCATAGTCGCCTTTTACGACAAGCATAGTCGCCTTTTACGGCAAGGATGGGTTGCTGAAGACCTATTCTACCCTGGATCTTCACGAAACATCTTCAGGGTGAATCAACATTTTAACCCATGATCAGGATTTTGCCTAAAAAACAAAATTCAGCAGAGAGATTTGCGGCACCTGAGACAAGCATGCACACACCTGCAGACAATACTGACATCAACTTTTATTTTTGTAGGAAGACATTCTCTATCTACCCAGCTACAATTATTACTCAACAGATCATAGACGGTCAAACATTGCCTGACCTGCGTGCGTGAGTGAGTGAGTGAGTGAGTGAGTGAGTGAGTGAGTGAGTGAGTGAGTGAGTGAGTGAGTGAGTGAGTGAGTGAGTGAGTGAGTGATTGGGTGGGTGGGTGGGTGAGTGAGTGAGTGAGTGAGTGAGTGAGTGAGTGAGTGAGTGAGTGAGTGAGTGAGTGAGTGAGTGAGTGAGTGAGTGAGTGAGTTTGATTTTTCGCCGCTTATAGCAATATTCCTGCAATATCAAGGCGGGGGACACCAGAAATGGGCTTCACACATTGTACCCATGTCGGGAATCGAACCCGGGTCTTCGGCGTGACGAGTGAACGCTTTAACCACTAGGCTACCCAACCGCCCCCTGATCAGCGTGAGACAAGTCTACCACCTACTTTTGTTGGGTTGTTTGTTGGCTGACAGGAAGAGGACTCCGTGCAGGAAGCTGATCACTTCCGGGATAAACCGCTTGGACTCCGACACATACTGAAACAAACAATCATGGGCTGTTGTATTGTTTGTGTGTTGGTCAACACAACGCTCAAATATATTCCAGCTATATGAAGGTGGCCTGTAAATAATTGAGTCTGGACCAGACAATCCTGTGATTGATATTGTGAACAACGATCCACGCCCTCAGGTTACGACGACATGCAATCAACAAGGCCATTGTGTTTGTCTGTTTTTTGTTGTTGTTTAACACCCAATTTCAGCTGTATGTAAGTGGTCTGTAAATAATTGAGTCTGGACCAGACAATCCAGTGAAAGGTCTTCAGCAACCCATGCTTGCCGTAAAAGGCGACTATGCTTGTTGTAAGAGGCGAGTAACAGGATCGAGTGGTCAGGCTCGCTAACTTGGTTGATGCATATCAATCGTGAATCGATGCTCATGATATTAATCATTGGATTGTCTGGTCCAGACTTGATTATTTACAGACCGCTGTCATATAGCTGGAATATGACTGAGTGCGGCGTTAAACCAAAAACAATCAAACAAACATTTGGTGACATGTTTCAAACAACTATAAAAATAAATTGACATATGTTTGCCTGACACACAATGTTGTCCAAAAGATATGCCAGATTTTTTTATTTTAAATGACCACCACTTTTTCAAAAAAGCTCCAGCCATACTTGAAACACATATTACAGGTGAAATTAATCCATTGTCAGACAAACTGACACACACACCTGTAGGCTACACCATCTCTCGTACATGCACACATAGATTTGTTAACAGACCATACACTACCTCCAAGCACAGATCACAGAGGAATAAGCCACAGGCCACGTCTCTCTCGGTGTTGACTGGAGTCTGAAAAACAATACAGCTTATACACTGGAGGTGAGGTGAGGTGAAATGGGGTTTAACGTCGCGTCCAAGATTATTGCACTTATATAGCAACGTGCATGCACGTGTGTGTGTGTGGCTGCTTGTACTAGTCCGGACTGATGCCGATTTATAGTGCTAGCCCACTGAGATACCATGCCACAGTTTAACATGAATACCCCACTCAGACACATAACAGTATACTGACTCCAAGCTGACCAGTCCTTGTTTTAGCCCCTTAATGCCGAGCGCCAGACAGGGTAACAACAAGTACCATCTTTTAATGTCTTTTGGTATGACGCGGCAGGGGATCGAACCCCGGACCTTCCGCTCTCCGGGCGGACGCTCTACCACTAGACCACGGAGGCGGTCTCATACACTGGAACACTATGATAGCTGCTAAAATAAGATAGCTACGAGATAAATCGCAGAACGAAGAACGAAGCCTGGTTTATTTCATGATAATACATTCCATTATCATGACATCATTTCTAGAAATTCGAACACGCATTCGCAACTTGATGATGTCGTCAATTGGAAGACGTTATTTTTGAGAGCTGAGTGTCTAGTGAGTTGCTCCCAATAGATGTAGCTGTGCAATGCAGATGAATGCAATGGCTGAACGATCGCAGTGGGAGAGATGACAATCGGTATAAGGAGAAGAGGTACATTGACATTGACAATGTCATGAAAATGATGTGAATATCTGGGAAATACTGGTACCAAACTTACCCCACTGTTCATAAACTGGACTCGTCCACATTGCTGAGGTCATATTTTATTCAGGGAGTCATCATTATTAAAATACGGGTAAATATCTTTAAAGCTTGAACATTTTATTAGCATACTTAAAGAGGCTGTACAAAATGTTAATGACCAGTCGATCCCATTAGTCGCCTCGTATAACAAGCATAGTCGCCTCGTATGACAAGCATAGTCGCCTCGTATGACAAGCATAGTCGCCTCTTACAGCTGGCATGCTTTGCTGCAGACCTATACTAACCCGGAACTTCACTAAGCTACTAGAAGAAGGAAATCTAAAGCAGAATGAACAATAGGAGGTTCTACCTGTCCAAGCAGCTGGCCCATGAAGATGAGGGCGGGGACCGTCACAGGATGGTTGAAGTCGGAGGTGGGGAACAGCACTGACACCAGCTTCAGGTACAGCAGCTGGCAAAACAACGCACTCGTCATCGTCAGCTCAACATGTGATATCAAAGCTAATGGCTGACATGCTGTCAGATTGCAACTTGCTCGTCTGATCTGGAAGCTGCTGAACCATAGTTTGAGATGGCTGCCATACTCAGCAGCCATTGTGGACATCTAGTGCCCATAATAGTCACTCTTCTGAAAATCAAGGTATTTTTAGGACGTAGCCTGCCATAACATTCCTTTGACTGAAACTGGTAAAGCTTACACTGATCATCTTAGCCTGAGTATGGTTTTACACCGCTTTTAGCAACATTCCAGCAATATCACAGCGGGGGACACCAGAAATGGGCTTCACACATTGTACCCATGTTGGGATTCGAACCCGGGTCTTCGGCGTGACGAGCGAACGCTTTTACCACTAGGCTACCCGACCGCCCACTTAGCGTGATGAGTGAATGCGTTGACCATGAGGCTACCCTACTGACATTCAGCCCTACTGTCTCACACAGTGACCAAGTGTTTGTATAAATTTTAAACCATTACGATGACATGTTAGATCTATTGTTGCAGTTGATTCTGAGCCAGGAACTCACTGGCCAGTCTGAATGTGCTTTCTAACAATAAATAGTAATGTAACTGTAGGTCATTATGCAAAATTATAGAGAAATTATACATCAGCCATAACATGGTTCAAGAATTGGTTCTCAGGCAATGACGTTTGAAAACGTAGTGCATGTGGGCGGTGTTTTTTGTTGTTGCTTCTTCGCAGTAAAGCAGTGTACATGTAAAGGGAAGTAACTGCGAGCTATATTTGATCACATTGTTTTTAGGCATGAGGATTTATTTTTTTGAAAATGGAAATAAAAATAAAACGTGCAGAAGATTTCATGATGATGCGGGCAGTGGCTTCTATCCAAGGCTGTTATCTTTTTTAGTCTTAGCATGTTCATGACAGATTCTAAAGCAGGGTACTGCATGCAAAAAACCCAAAGTCACAGAAACAGGAAGGAACTTCAGTGGTAGAAACTAACAGTTTTCGTCCACAAGTGCTTATTATGATGACATAAAGCAAATTTCTACTCGTCCTTATGATACCTTTACTATTGGGCAGTTTGTCATTGGCTACAGGACTAGTGCCAATTTCTAACGCTGAACTTGGCACTAGCTAACTAGCAGAGTCAGTTTGTCTATTGGTATCCTAAGGGCTAGTATGTTTCAGGTCAAATTGCATCTATGGTTGTTATTTACAAACTCCTTGCCTAATTGTATGTTCCCCAGGGAGCTGAGAATGACATTTGAGAGCACACTGATCCACTGACCAGGGCTATAATGATGTAGAACTATGGGCATACCAGCAGGAATGGAAATTGGCGCTGTAGAAACTCTATTATTATTGGGGCAGGTGACTTTATCATGTATAGCTACCAAACATTTTGTCAATATTACATACCACTATCCCCAAAACAAATACCAGTAAACATTTGAGCAACTCACGGTGTCCAAACCCAGAACAACTGGCCTCCTGATCTCTCTCATCTGAGTGAAGTCTGCCTGCTGGTTCTTGATAATTTCCTGCAAGGTTTCCGCGGCAACGTTCGGTGCCGATTGGGTCAGGTCGTATATCTGTCCGGTCAGCTTGTCCAGCAGTGACAGGGATGGCACCTCCTGCAGCGCCAGACTACCGAAGTAGTGGATCAACAGCTGCAGCAAGTTCTGAAACATCACAATCGTTCCTCATCACTTAGGATGCCATTTCGAAGCTTGTCTTAACACTTTTGATTTCTATTAACATACAAACTTAATAGACATTATCATTTTCAAGGTCACGATCAAAGGTCAAACCCAACAATTATTAGGAATAATTATTTCTGTGTTTGCAAGCCAAATGACCTACCTCCATCTTGACCTTGTTCCCATCTGCGAGACTGGCATGGTGGCACTTCCTGATCCTGTCTATGATGGTCAGTTGGTCAGTATCTGACCGGCCGTGGAGCATGTCCAGCAGAGCATCATAGTTGTCAGGGGCTGGGAACATTGATTGATCAAACTTGGTATTTGTATTGTTTAATGTTTAACACCGCACTCAGCAATATTCCAGCTATATGACCAAAGCCTGTAAACAATCAACCCTGGACCAGACAACCCAGTGATTGATATTATGAACAACAATCCACACCTATAGCGTACAAATCTTTCCAAGGCAAGGAAGTTAACTGACTATAAATGTCCAGTTTCTACCCTTGCCGAACTTCGTGGAATTTCGTGACTTGATTGTAGTGCCCCCCCAGTGCTGAACAAACAGATTCCACCCCTCACATCACTTGCATTTGCTTCCAACAAAATGGGGACGCCCAGTCAAGAAAATCAAGTTGATCGAAGAAACATTTCACATATTCCCTGCCTCACAGTTGCATGAGGATTGAGCACACTTGAGCACATTGACTAAAAACATGATACAATCTGTAAAATATCTGTCAAAGCCAAATTGAGGTAGGGTGAAATGGGGTTTAACGTTACGTCTAAGATTATTGCACTTATATAGCGACGTGCATGTACGTGTGTGTGTTTGTGTGGCTGCTTGTACTAGTCCGGACTGATGCCGATTTATAGTGCTAGCTCACTGAGATACCATGCCGCAGTTTAACATGAATACCCCACTCAGACACAGTATACTGACTCCAAGCCGACCAGTCCTTGTTTTAGCCCCTAAATGCCGAGCACCAGACAGGGTAACAACAAGTACCATCTTTTAATGTCTTTTGGTATGACGCAACCGGGGATCAAACCCTGGACCTTCCACTCTCCGGGCGGACGCTCTACCATTAGACCACGGAGGCGGTCCAAAGCCAAATTGAAGGTACACAGAGTTTGCAAATCCTGTAATCATCCAAAATATGCACAACAGTCGTCATGTTGTTTACGAACAGGATGTCAATTTCGTTACATGATGATGATTTTACTCTTCATAGACTTGTTAGTCCAGGCAAACTATAACTCCATAATTCCAGCCCTGACTAAAACTGCAGCGTATTGTGATAAATACATTGACACATAAATTTACTGCAGGTCATAAGCACCCATACGAATTTGAAACTACAGGCCCGACACTAATTGTACCTGCCCCGGGCCTACGGGCAAGCGCTTGTTCCGAACACAGAGTGAAAGTTGTTTCAGCAGCAATATGATGATGTTGTATGATAATATCACAATTGTAGCCACTGGCTTAGGCCTGTTTGCAATCAAACACAAGTGTGTCTATATCAGACAGTCTTGGGTCATGATTTCAGTTTCTATCTGCAAGTTTTCATTCCTGACAGTACAGACAGCTACTTCTGGGGGCTGACTTGCAATACGAACTGACCTGTTTGTTTGTTTGTTTGTTTGTTTGTTTGTTACATGCTGCAATCAGCAATGTTCAGCTAGATGACGTCAGTCTGAATATAATTGAAACTGGGCCAGACAATCCACTGATTGCCATCATGAGCATGGGTCTATGCAATTGGGATCAGTGACATGCATCAACCAAGTCAGCGATCCTGACAATCCATTCCCGTAAATTGCCTCTTTCAACAAGCAATGTCGCCTCTTATGACAAGCATGGGTTACTGAAGACCTATTCTAACCCAGATCTTCACTGAGCAGTACCTGTATAGATATACAGTTACCTTGGTTACACATGGACATGGCCGAGGTAGTTACCTTCGAAGGTGTAAGGCAACTCATTGGCTGCTGCCTGTCTCACTTCTTTTTTCTTCTGCAAAACATGGAATATTAAAGTGTTATATTTTCATTCAAATAAACTCAACATGTATAATAATCAACACAGAAAACCACTTTCATTTTTTCATTATACCGTTGGTTGGTTGGTTTGTTGTTTAACGCCACACTCAGCTATATTCCAGCTATATGACAGCGGTCTGTAATTAATCGAGTCTGGACCAGACAATCCAGTGATTGATATCATGAGCATCGATCCACACAATAGGGATCGATGACATGCATCAACCAAGTCAGCGAGCCTGACCACCGGATCCCGTTAGTCGCCTTTTACGACAAGAATAGTCACTTTTTACGGCAAACATGGGTTGCTGAAGACCTATTCTACCCTGGAATCTTCACGGGTCTCATTATACCGTAATGAAATCCATGCACCAATGTCACATGGTGAGGTGAGGGGAAATAGGGTTTAACGTTGTTTCCAAGATTATTGCACTTATATAGCGATGTGCATGCATGTATGTGTGTGTGTGTGTGTGTGTGTGTGGCTGCTTGTACTAGCTTGTGACGATTTTATAGTGCTAGCCCACTGAGATACCATGCGCCAGTTTAACATGAATACCCCACTCAGACACAGTATACTGACTCCGAGCCGACCAGTCCTTGTTTGAACCCCTTTATGCCAAGCGCCAAACAGGGAAACAATAAGTACTATCTTTTAACGTCTTTTTGTATGATGCGGCCAGGGTTCGAACGCCCGACCTTCCGCTCTCCGGGCGGTCGCTCTACCACTAGACCACGGAGGCACATGTCTCAGAAGGATATCAATGTTCACTTAATTCAGACCCATTTACAACATGTCCATACAATATTACAGATGAATACAGATGAATACAGATGAATACTGAAATATCATATCTGCAAAAAGAATTTGCCATAAGGTGAGATGCTTATTAAGTCAAATCCAGCAAGACGGAATAATCAAGGATGACCAATGGTTACCATGGGATAAAAAATATCACAAGAATGATTGTTTGTTTGTTTGTTAGATGTTTGACACTGCAATATTCAAACGAGATGATAGTGGCCTGTAAATAATGAAATAATGACTGAATTTATTACCAACAATCCACACTGTCAGGAAATGATGATATAGAAAATCAACCATGTCATCTAGCGATCACCTGACCACCTGACCCATCCTGTGGCCTTGTATGACAAGCACAGATTGCTGGGAGCTTATTTCAATCCAGAATCCACACAGATGATATCCTGCAGTTGCAAAGTTTGTTTGTTTGTTGTTTAACACCACAATCAGCAATATTCCAGCTATATGACAGCCGTCTGTAAATAACCGAGTCTGGACCTGACAATCCAGTGATTGATATCATGAGCACTGATCTGTGCAATTGGGGTCAATGACATGCTCAGCGAGCCTGACCACCCGATCCCGTTAGTCGCCTCTTACGACAAGCACAGTCACCTTTTATGGCAAGCATGGGTTGCTGAAGACCTGGATCTTCACGGGTCCAGTAGTTGGAATGAGTTAGGTAACTTAGCAACACCATGTGTACACAAATTACATTTGTTTGGCATACCTGTTTCTCGGCTTTTGTCTCCGGTTTCTTTTTTAAAATAGACTTTGTCTTTGACACACTTTGCTCATTGTCTTTCTCTCCTTCTGAATCTGAATGAATATCAGCATAACTGTCCTCGCTGTCTCCTTCTGAATGTTCATCACTGTTGTCCTTGTCAGCCTCATCAACATCATCATCGTCATTATCACCACGATCGCTGTCTTCGCCACCATTCTCTTCTTCGTCACTACCTTCCTTTTCCTCCTCCTCACGTTCCTCTTCTTCGTCCTCAGAATCTTCCTCTTCTTCCTCGAGGAAGCGCACTTTCCCCCGATTCCTATCATCTGCGTCCAGCACAAACCTACATCAATGAATATTTCAAGGCTTTAAACTGTCATTTTCAAGGCTTTTTAGTGGGGTTATTAGCCATTGTCTGTTATAACATATATTCATTATAGAAAACAGTATGAACATCACAAATTTTACAACAAGATTGATTTACACAACCAACAATAACATAAAGTAAGTTTTAAGAATTTTAATACTTGTATTCATAGCATATATCATTTTGTTCAAATTCAATTTGTTTCAAGATATTTTGGTGATTTTCAAGGCTTTAGAGATTAAAATTAAAAATTAAGGCTTCTCAAGAGGGACCATAAAATTCAAAGCCTTTTGAAGCCTGTATGAACCTTGTTAACATTTCCAGACACCATCAGTTGAGATAAACACTTTTTTAATGAGATCACTCTGTATCTCTCTACATCCAAATATGTCAATCTTGCACTGAGGAAAAACAGCTTTGCAGCGACAAATCATTTATGTGCAAACCGCCTCAAGAAGCATATTGCAAGGGAGATAATCCTACCCATCATCCAGACTGTCGGCAGAGTAGTGTTGTGGCTGTGATGGGACGCTGTGTGGGAGGACACCTTTCATCCTCCTCACACGATCAGCCTGCAGTAGAACAGTTGCCAGAGTTAACCACTCCCAGACAATCAAGTGAGACTCAGTTGCCATGCCTATCCAAATTACCATATTCAACGTAATAAGCGCCCCGCTCTAATAAGTGCGCACTGCGAAATTTGCTAATATATTGGCTAGTGAACAATCCCAATCAGCACCCCTTCCAAATGATCAATGTACACAAGACTTATTTATTCGTGTATAGTACACACTCGTGTGTTATATGCACCCTTAATTATGGGCAATTAAATTCTGGAAAAATATATCTGTCGTGTATAATACACACAGACTTTTCTTTTGTATCATTTCAGGCTGTCAGCATAAACCACGAAATTTACGATCTTTCAACTCTATTGTTTTTCACCAAACTTTTATTCTAATAAGAGCCCCCTATTTCTAATTTTGAGAGCACCCTAGGCGCTTATTATGTCGAATACGGTAACATGATTTTAAGCAGATTACTTCTGACTAGGGCTAGGACGGGTAACCCGGGTAGGTACTGAGTAGGACCCGGGTACCCACAGGACTACCCGGAACCGTGGTTAGTCACGTGATATATTGTTTAATGACAAAAAGTATCTAGAAGTCTATGGTGACACTACAAGTCACTAATGTTCGCATTTCTTTCTGACTGTGCACCCATTCCTTCCAATTTTTTCATATGGTTGAATAAAGATATAACTTAATTGAACTTCAGTGTATGAATGACCAAATTGTTTAATACATGTACCTAAAAACGTTTTGCCAGGGCTATGCTAAAATTGTTCCCAATCAGACATTTTGAGACATCTCCTGAGACCTGCAGTGGGTACACGGGTAGGGTCGGGTAATAGGGGGGTGGGTACCAGGGTAGTAAACAGCCCTACATCTAACAACATGCCTTGTTTTATTTCCAGATATATTGATGCTTTTCACTCAATGAATAACAATAACACTGTGTATATCAAAAGTTCCAGATACTGTACATTAAAAAACATTATATTGTTTATTTTTTTATTCTTTCTAATTATTCAAAATGTTTACAAGTATATATCTGGAGAATTGCACTTTCAATAAGTCATATTAGAAAACAAGCATTTTTTTATAAATGTCTATCACTTTGATAAATATGATCTGAATGACATCTAGGTGTTATGACAGTGTCAGAATTTGATGGATGGCAAATATTGTCACAATCATATCAACAATAGTTCACATAACCATGTTTAACCTTATACTTATTACTTGGACATTCACGAACAATAATATTCTATACAGATGATGCTATCAGACTCTGTTACATACCTCCAAATTTTCTAATCTCTCCTTTTCCTCTTTTGCCAGTTCCTCAACTGTTTTTAGCCTATCTGTTGCCTAGAAACGGAATAAAAAGAGTTTCACTCAAAGAAATGTCAAAATCATAAGTCATTCTGTAGCCTGAAAAAACATATTATAGATAGATTGATAGACAGACAGACAGATAGATGCTTTAGTTTGTTTGCAATCAAACACAAGTGAGTCTATATCAGACAGTCTTGGGTCATGATTTCAGTTTCTATCTGCAAGTTTTCATCCCTGACAGTACAGACAGCTACTTCTGGGGGCTGACTTGCAATAAACGATGTGTGGTATTATTGTCCAAAGTTATAAATAACCAGATCTGTTTGTTTGTTTATTTGATGCCCCTGAACCCAGTATTCCCAGTATTTCATCTGAAGACAATCCAGGGAAAATACAATTCAGGTACGAGTGAGTGAGTGAGTGAGTGAGTGAGTGAGTGAGTGAGTGAGTGAGTGAGTGAGTGAGTGAGTGAGTGAGTGAGTGAGTGAGCGAGCGGGCATGCTGCTTAACGCTGCATCAGTCTTCAAATAAAAAGACCCACTTTTAACATTACGGTTACGACAACGATCTCTTGAATTTCAATGCTTAATTTGATGCTTAACACAACTGCCTTGAGGCTGCATCAGCAATCTCAGTTTTTCACATTGAGTCATATGATCAGTACACATTACTGCTATAGCATTGGAATGAAAGGGCTTAAATTCGAACAGTGCCTTAGATCAACACGCTTTAGATTGTTTGCAATCAAACACAAGTGTGTCTATATCAGACAGTCTTGGGTCATGATTTCACTTTCTATCTGCAAGTTTTCATCCCTGACAGTACAGACAGCTACTTCTGGGGGCTGACTTGCAAAATATAAAGTATGGTATTATTGTCCAGGGTTAAAAAAATCAGATCTGTTAGTTTGTTTGTTTGTTTGATACCCCTGAACCCAGCATTCCATCTAAAGACAATCCAGGGAAAATACCATTCAGGGAATGATGACACTTAATCAACAAAGTCATCAGTGATGAAGCCTGACCATCCAATCCATTTGGTCACCTCTTACAAGTGGAGTGAGTGAGTGAGTGAGTGAGTGAGTGAGTGAGTGAGTGAGTGAGTGAGTGAGTGAGTGAGTGAGTGAGTGAGTGAGTGAGTGAGTGAAAGGGCCCACTTTTAATATTACTGTCATGACGACCCCTTGACTTTCATGCTTTGATGCCCAATTTCGAACACTTCTTTAGATCAACACACTTTAGCTTGTTTGCAATCAAACACAAGTGTGTCTATATCAGACAGTCTTGGGTCATGATTTCAGTTTCTATCTGCAAGTTTTCATCCCTGACAGTACAGACAGCTACTTCTGGGGGCTGACTTGCAATATATAAAGTGTGGCATTTGCTGCTATAGTATATGATTGAATCGACACATTTTTGTTTTATACCATGAACTTTGCAGTAATCGAGCCATATAACAACTAATAAATAAGCAAATCTGGGCCAAACAATCCAGTGAAAATATGATCCACGCAGTCAGTGTATGAAGACACTAAGTCAACCAAAACACTCAGTCAACCAAGACACTCAGTCAACCAAGACACCCAGTTAACCAAGTCAAGTTTTGTTTGCTTGTTTGTTGTTTAATGCCGCACTCAGCTATAATCCAGCTATATGACGGCAGTCTGTAAATAATCGAGTCTGAACGAGACAATCCAGTGATTGACATCATGAGCATCAATCCACGCAATTGGGATACGATGACATGTATCAACCAAGTCAGCGAGCCTGACCACCCGATCCCATTAGTCGCCTGTTCGACAAGCAAAGTCGACTGTTACGGCAAGCATGGGCTGCTGATGACCTATTCTACCCCAGATCTTCCCGGGCCAAGTCACCAGGTCTGACCACGAGTCTGGTCACCCCTTACATGTCTTGCGAATGGGTTGGGTGGGGTGTTGTGAGTGAGTGAGCAAGATATTCCTCATGGTAATATTCCAGCAATATCAGTGATGTGCCCCAAATAGCTTCACACATCACATCCATGCATAGAAGCAAATCCAGGTCCTAAGTTTAATGAGTGAGTTTTTTGTACGCTGCTTTAAGCAACATCCCGGCAATATCACGGCGGGGAACACCAGAAGCTAAGTTTAATGACTTCTACACATTTCCATCACTACTCCATACGAAAGCGATTATTAATGATCACAGCTTCACAAACCATTAACTGATAATGATTATCTTGACAAAAAACAGTAGCATTGACATTCAGAAAATCCTCAACAACTCACTTTTCCTTTGATCTCGAACTTCAGCTCCCTCACTGCAATGTCATAATCATCATTTGCAGGCTTGTTCTCTCTCTTGCCCTGAAAACACAAAACAATATGCATTTCTTACATGCACACACTGTAATCAGTTGATACTTCCGACATTACAACAACACTAACCAGTTATTCTTCCATTCCCGAGGCACATCAAGGGAGACAACTCATTCCAAAAATGTGGTCAATGGCCACAAGGTTTATCCGCTACCTGCATAATACCTTGGTCAGCAATATGTTGGTTGGTTGGTTTGTTGTTTAACGCCGCACTCAGCAATATTCCAGCTATATGACGGCGGTCTGTAAATAATCGAGTCTGGACCAGACAATCCAGTGATTGATATCATGAGCCTCGATCCACGCAATTGGGATCGATGACATGCATCAGCCAAGTCAGCCAGCCTGACCACCCGATCCCGTTAGTCGCCTTTTACGACAATCATAGTCACCTTTTACGGCAAGCATGGGTTGCTGAAGACCTATTCTACCCAGGATCTTCACGGGTCCAGCAACATGTAGGTGGATTATTGCATGAACAATGCTTAATGCCAGATACCGCCTACTGCCTTAAATAGTTTGAATAACATGATGGCCATTTTGAAGACAGGTTTGTTTGTTTGTAGTTTAACTCAGCAATATTCCAGCTATATCATGGTGGTCTGTAAATAATTGAGTCTTAACCAGACAATCAAGTCAGCGATCCTGACCACATGATCCTGTTAGTCACTTTAGTCTAAAAATAATAATAGTCTTGGCTCTCAGGCACTGCCTGCACCATCATTAAATCCGCCGCACGTTATGTTTTTAGTTCCACTCCCCCCAACCCCATCCCCCCAAAAAACAACTCTAAATATTCCGCGTCTCGAACACACAACCACGGCAGTGAAATGCTACAATACCTAAGAACATCATGATTTCGCAGAAATTATTAACAAAATTTGTTTACAAGCTAACTTGAACAAAAACCAAAAAAAAAAAAAATACACTGCCCCCGCCTGCACAATATTTTCAAAAGCCATTGCATGAGAACCTATTTTTTTAAGCCTTATATCACCCACATCGGTTGCTGAAGACCAATCATAATGAGGATCTTCACAGGTATGAAGACAGGTCATCTGTGCTCACCAGAAATTATGTTTTCACTCTAAATTAAAGACAAAAGCAAATGTAACGCTAAAAGTTAGATAAGGTTCACGACTGCTACCAGGATAAGTCACGTGAGAGTCACGTCAAGACCAGTTCCAAAATGGATTCCTTCCAGTGTTGGCGCCAAGGAGACCTATGGACTGATTCAAACTGAGGGATAAAAGTGGAATTCTGTAGCGGATTCCACTGTATCAACTTACAGTCATTCCTCGTAGCAGTTGAGCAACATCCTTCCACTGCTCATCCAACTCCTCTGTCAGTTCAGCTGTCTTCTCCCGCTCAAACTGTCGGTCAAACTGCAACGTCAACAATTCAAACTACAACACACTGTACAGCACACAGGATTATGCACATTAAAAAATAAATGCAATAACATTTCTATTGATTCAATAAGTAAGCGAGTGAGCGAGTGAGAATGCTTTTACGCCACTTTTAGCAATATTCCAGCAATATCAAGAAGGGGGACACAAGAAATGGGCTTCACACATTGTACCCATGTCAGGAATCGAACACGGGTCTTCGGTGTGACGAGCGAACGCTTTAACCACTAGGCTACCCGACCGCCCAAATTTTGTCCTCAATTCACAACAGTCACAAGAAGAAATACCTTGTTACCTAATAATTTAGTCAACATATTATCATTCAGCTACCCGACCACCCAAATTCAATAAGTAAGAGATTTCAAGATTATCATTTCAGCTACACATGTACAAGGTAATAACCTCAATCTCATTAAAATCAGCAGCAAATGTTATATTTCTTAGTAAAGTACACATTCTTGAACTTTTTTGGGTTGAGTCCCATCCGGGATTCAAACCCACACTGCTAGAGTGAGGCACCTAATCGCCAGCACACAAAGTACACTTCATTAAAACCAGATCTGAGTTCTCACCACCGCCAAACAAAGATCTGAGGACATCTCAATAAGGGTCATGCAAGACCAACCTTTCACAAACTTCGACCAACCAATGCAATGTCTGACAATCAGTAGGCAGCTTTCAGTTGCTTTAGATTGTATAGATTCAGTCAGAATACCCCTTGTTAAGTTTTTTAAGGTTGCATGATTAGAGTGAGTGAGTTTGATTTTATGCCGCTTTTAGCAATATTTTAGCAATATTCCAGCAATATCACAGCGGGGGACACCAGAAATGGGCTTCACACATTGTACCCATGTCGGGAATCAAATCTGGGTCTTTGGCATGACGAGCAAACGCTTTAACCACTAGGCTACCCGACCGCCCCGTTGCATGATTAGAAAACACATTCTGACTGTCACTTTCATAATCTGGTAAGCGACGCTCTGATTGGTCATATAAAAGTTTTTTCTGACGTGACCAATAATGGGATGTCCTCAGATCTACTCCACCGGAACTAAAGTTTTCAACAAGAACCAGCAATCCATATTCAATCCACAGCATGCAGTTGACACAGAGCCTGTTTCAAAGGATACCTATTTCCTTTTTATATAATCTTGTTTGCAATCAAACACAAGTGTGTCTATATCAGACAGTCTTGGGTCATGATTTCAGTTTCTATCTGCAAGTTTTCATCCCTGACAGTACAGACAGCTACTTCTGGGGGCTGACTTGCAAACATGGACGTGTGATGTCAACACATGCACTGAACATGGCTAAAAGGATTTCATCTTGTTTCTGCCCCCTTCCCCTATCCAAAACAAGACAACAAAAGAAGAAATTGTCTGCTTGCAGTTACCATGAAACATCTTCAAAGGGATATTTTCAACAACTCTCAAGGTGTGTTTAAAAAATCAAGGTCTACAAATCGCAGATCGATGATGTAGGCATTGCACACTGATTGCACACACGATTCGTATCACGATACGGACTGACGATACTTCTGGTATAACAATACCCCACATCAAATAAGAAATGATAAAATCACTGAAATACAGCTCTAAAACCTCTTTCTTCATACATTTATTTCTTGTTATCTCAAAAACTTTAAAAAAGAAAACCACAAGAACAAAACAGTTTTAAATGAAGAGATGGTTATCAATGTAACAGCCAGTTGGCGCTTACTCAGCTACCACGTGCTTGTGTTCTGCCATGCTTACAGGTGGCGCTATGCTACTTCTGCCATGGGAGCTAACTATATTAGTTCCTGAATGTATATCGTATCGTGATCTCACAAACTGATGATTCAAGTATCGTGTACACCTAAGTATCAATGATATAGTAGTGAGTGAGTTTGGTTTTATGCCGATTTTAGCAATATTCCAGCAATATCACGGCGGGGGACACCAGAAATGGGCTTCACACATTGTAACAATGTCGGGATTCGGACCCGGGTCTTCGGCGTGACGTTTTAACCACTAGGCTACCCGACCGCCCCCAATGATATAGTACTGGATGATGAGATTATCTAAGCTTTTGTTTCTAAGATACTTGTTTCTGACTGGTGTCTGAATGGGCAGTTCGTTCACGTGTACCCCGCTGATAGATAAGGCACAAATTTCAAACACCCACTGGGAATATATTGATGTAGTCATATTAACCTGAAAGTGAACGCCTATCAAATACAGCTTAGCGAATTTAACAAAGCATATCCAATTGTAATGCAAGGGAGATAACTCTGCATGTGATTATGACAGTGCCAGCTGTCAACATGTCCATGAAACAGTTTGCTAGCCATACCGATGAAGACATTCTAGCTACAAAGGCGAAAATTATGCTGGTAAAATAGATATATCGTCAACTAGTCCGTCGGGTATATATGGTGTGATATACCCGAATACCTCCATGGGCTCACACACAGGGTACATCACACAACATATCCCTTGCGTCCAGTGGACAACAAAAATTGTCATGAAACTGCAATACCTTTCAAAATTAAAGTGAGCAAATTAACACATTGGTGTTTTAACGTTATGAATCAAACTTTTTCAAAGTGTACTTTTTCGGCCCAAATTGCATTCATTCTTTCTGCCCCTTGTAAAGGCTTTTATGTAATCGTCAAACCATGTCATCCACTACACACGTGACCTGTTAGCTCACCTTCTCCTTCTTCGACTTGGCTATCACGGTCTCCATTTTCTCTTTCCACGACCGTTGGTCATCTTCCGCTTCGGATGGATCTTTCCGCGTCATGAAGCCTCCAAAGTGTTCTCGGGCGACCACATCTCCTGCAAACAGTAGACGCTGGCTTCAGTCACAGACTTACCCAAACCCCTGCAGTCATAAGCGCTGAGCGATAGTTTACATCAGAGTTGTAATGATTCATTGGTGCATCAAAACAAAATGTCAAAATTAAACTTTTGCATTAGCAGGTCTTGCACGATTACAAATCAATACAAGCATTAATAAGGATGATTGTAAAGTGGTGTTAACATATATTGTAAAATGGTATCTCCAACTTCAATATAAATTCTGTGAATTTACTATATGTAAATCTGTGTTAGTTGGGAAACTGGCAACTTCCTTTGTGGATGGACTGGACTAGTTCCCTATACATATCAAGGCCTCCTGACTTGCAGGCTTAATTTGATGCCTAATTTCGAAAACCATCATGGCTTAACATGCATTAGCTTGTATGCAATCAAACACAAGTGTGTCTATATCAGACAGTCTTGGGTCATGATTTCAGTTTCTATCTGCAAGTTTTCATCCCTGACAGTACAGACAGCTACTTCTGGGGGCTGACTTGCAAAATATAAAGTGTGGTACTTGCCCTGAGTCATAAACGGAGCATGTCTTTCTTTCTTAAAAGTCACTTGAAATTGGCAGTATTCCAGCTATGTGAGTGAGTGAGTGAGTGAGTGAGTGAGTGAGTGTTTGAGTGAGTGAGTGTTTGAGTGAGTGAGTGAGTGTTTGAGTGAGTGAGTGAGTGAGTGAGTGAGTGAGTGAGTGAATGAGTGAGTGAGTGTTTGAGCGAGCGAGCGAGCAAGAGAACTGCTCAACTCTGCATCAGTCTTTGAATGAAAAGACCCACTTCTAACATTATGGTTTCGACAACAATCTCTTGAATATCAATGCTTAACAATGACTTGATGTCACCTGCTTTAGCTTGTTTGCAATCAAACACAAGTGTGTCTATATCAGACAGTCTTGGGTCATGATTTCAGTTTCTATCTGCAAGTTTTCATCCCTGACAGTACAGACAGCTACTTCTGGGGGCTGACTTGCAAAATATAAAGTGTGGTACTTGCCCTGAGTCATAAACGGAGCATGTCTTTCTTTCATTAAAGTCACTTGAACTTGGCAGTATTTCAACTATGTGAGTGAGTGAGTGAGTGAATGAGTGAGTGAGTGAGTGAGTGGGTGGGTGTTCGAGTGAGTGAGTGAGTGAGTGAGTGAGTGAGTGAGTGAGCGAGTGAGTGAGTGAGTGAGTGAGTGAGTGAGTACTGCTTAACGCTGCATCAGTCTTTAAATGAAAAGACCCACTTTTAACATCATGGTTACGACGTTGATCTCTTGAATTTCAATGCTTAATTTGATGCTTAACACAACCGACTTGATGTCACCTGCTTTAGCTTGTTTGCAATCAAACACAAGTGTGTCTATATCAGACAGTCTTGGGTCATGATTTCAGTTTCTATCTGCAAGTTTTCATCCCTGACAGTACAGACAGCTACTTCTGGGGGCTGACTTGCAAAATATAAAGTGACATAGAGTCATAAACAGCTGATGACGGCCTGTAAATAATAGAATCAGGGCCATACAATCCATTGAAAATAGAATCCATGCAGGTATGTCCCTGAAAGTACAGACAGCTACTTCTGAGCGCTGACTTGCAATATATAAACTGTGGCACTAGCCCAGAGTCATAAACGAAGCATGTCTTTCTTTCATTAAAGTCACTTGAACTTGGCAGTATTTCAGCTATGTGAGTGAGTGAGTGAGTGAATGAGTGAGTGAGTGAGTGGGTGGGTGTTCGAGTGAGTGAGTGAGTGAGTGAGTGAGTGAGTGAGTGGGTGTTCGAGTGAGTGAGTGAGTGAGTGAGTGAGTGAGTGAGTGAGCGAGCGAGTGAGTACTGCTTAACGCTGCATCAGTCTTTAAATGAAAAGACCCACTTTTAACATCATGGTTACGACGTTGATCTCTTGAATTTCAATGCTTAATTTGATGCTTAACACAACCGACTTGATATCACCTGCTTTAGCTTGTTTGCAATCAAACACAAGTGTGTCTATATCAGACAGTCTTGGGTCATGATTTCAGTTTCTATCTGCAAGTTTTCATCCCTGACAGTACAGACAGCTACTTCTGGGGGCTGACTTGCAAAATATAAAGTGACATAGAGTCATAAACAGCTGATGACGGCCTGTAAATAATAGAATCTGGGCCATACAATCCATTGAAAATAGAATCCATGCAGGTTTGTCACAACGATACCCAATCAACAAAGTCACCGAGACTAACATCCAATCTACTTGGTCCCCTCTTTCATGTCGAGTGAGTGAGTGAGTGAGTGAGTGAGTGAGTGAGTGTGTGAGTGGGTGAGTACTGCTTAACGCTGCATCAGTACAGGCAGTTGCTATAATATTTGTATACTCCCACTTTTAACATTACTGTAGGGCAACGACCCCTTGACTTTCATGCCTATATTGATGCATAAAGCTGACTTGGTTTCAAATGTTTTAGTTTGTTTGCAATCAAACACAAGTGTGTCTATATCAGACAGTCTTGGGTCATGATTTCAGTTTCTTTCTGCAAGTTTTCATCCCTGACAGTACAGCCAGCTACCTCTGGGGGCTGACTTGCAATAAGAAAAGGCTGTGTCGTTCTCCCAGTAAAGAAGCATGATGTATTCAGCAAACTCCTGTAAACCTTGACAAAACTACAACCAACTGTGTAAATGATTAAATGTGAGAGATGGTATCAGATTGGTCAGGAGGAGGGACATAGAAGGGACATAACTCGAAATAGCCACTGGTGGCGTTAAAATCAACCTATTCAAGTGAATATTGCTTAAAATCGCATCAGCAATTTGAGAGTTATTCACATTGAGTCTTATGACCAGTACAGCTTGCTGCTATAGTATTTGAATGAATGGAATCAGTGTTAACATTATCGTTACGACAACGACCCCTGGACTTTCATGTTTAATTTGATGCTCAATTTCGGACACCGCCTTGGTTTCAAATGTTTTAATTTGTCTGCAATCAAACACAAGTGTGTCTATATCAGACAGTCTTGGGTCATGATTTCAGTTTCTATCTGCAAGTTTTCATCCCTGACAGTACAGACAGCTACTTCTGGGGGCTGACTTGCAATATATAAACTGTGGTACTTGCCCAGAGTCATAAACGGAGCATGTCTTTCTTTCATTAAAGTCACTTGAACACTTGAACAGTATTCCAGCTATGTGAGTGAGTGAGTGAGTGAGTGAGTGAGTGAGTGAGTGGGTGGGTGGGTGTTCGAGTGAGTGAGTGAGTGAGTGAGTGAGTGAGTGAGTGAGTGAGTGAGTGAGTGAGTGAGTGAGTGAGTACTGCTTAACGCTGCATCAGTCTTTAAATGAAAAGACCCACTTTTAACATTATGGTTACGACGTTGATCTCTTGAATTTCAATGCTTAATTTGATGCTTAACACAACCAAAACTGGCTTGATGTCACCTACTTTAGCTTGTTTGCAATCAAACACAAGTGTGTCTATATCAGACAGTCTTGGGTCATGATTTCAGTTTCTATCTGCAAGTTTTCATCCCTGACAGTACAGACAGCTACCTCTGGGGGCTGACTTGCAATACATCATTGTGTTAAAAATTGTAAGATATACACTGATTTATATACCATGTATATGAACTGAAAGGGAGCTACATGACACTTTTTCATGGATAGCAACTTCTTTTATTCGGCGAGTGAGTGAGTTGGGTTTAACGCCGATTTTAACAGTATTCCAGTTATATCGCGGCTTGTCAGCCTAAGTTTGGAGGAAAGCCCAAAACGATGCAGGTCTCAGACATTTACCACTTCGGTGAAACCCACGAGCTCGGGTATGGTGCTGACATAATCGGGGCGAACCAGGATTCAAACCCACAATCATAGGTTTCTGATGTGCCAAAGGGACGCAACTCTGCACAGTGAATCACGGCGCCTTAGACCACTGGGCCATCTTGCTCCTTCATCACCTTGCTCAAATTACAATTGCTGTCCAAAGGGTAAAAAAAGTGTCATGAATTCATGTACTCCCAACGTCTAAATGCCTGTCAAAGACTTGAAAGGGAATGAATGCAATGGAAAAGTCCAAATATTCTCACCTGAAAACAAAACATTGATGAACACATGACTTTCTAACAGTAGATGTAAATGACAGGATATATACATGTTCTTAATCTGTGTCAAGATGGCAGTGTAAACAAACAAACAAACAAACAAACAAACAAAAAGATGGCAGTACCTCCAATCTTCCCAGAATCCTCATCTTCATCACTGATTTCTGGGTCATCAAACTTTTCAATCTCGGACAGTGACTGACCGTAGTGGGTCAATTCTTCATCGTCATTCAAGTTAAACTTATTTCCACCTGTGTGTTTCTGGAAAAAAAAATTCAGGACATAACAAAAATCATTAGCATGATTAGGAGCCTCATTTCATTTTCTCCATGCTTACCGCTTGGGCCATTCATGTTCAACTATTAGAAAAACAATTACTGAAAATCTGTAAAATCATCCAGTTTGATACAGTTTAGCATCATCTCTACCAGTTGTGGGATGATAGACAGATGTATCGGTGGATCATCGGATCACAATCTCACAATAAGCAAAAAACATTGATTCTTACCAAAAATGTAATCTTTCATAAATGTCACACTAAACACTAAACACTAATCACTTGTGAAATGAGTAGTGTAAACATAAATATATTCATCCATTGCGCTGTACCTGACACTGCCAACTTTAAATCGTCAGTGGGCCAGGTATTTGGCCATCCTGTCTATGAACAATGGGGCTTACACATCACAGATAAGAGCACATGCAAGTATCGTGATACATATCGGATCACACAGTTGGTGTATCATCCCAGCACTAACCTCTACCAGTGTACATTTCAAAACGATTCAAAATGAACTTAATTGGTACAAAATCTGCACTATTTTCAGAGACTCAGAGGGACCAGGTGTGTGGCAAACTCTATCTGAGTTTTGACATAACTGCTTCAATAAATACAACATTAACCCAATAAAAATTCACCAATAAATAATCTACCTACCTCTCTCTCTATGGCATATCTCTTCAACATCTTGTCCTCCACACTGAGGCTGGTGTCATTCTCCCCAAACCGCCGATCCACCAACTTGTTAGCCTTGAATCGTTGTTCATATTCCTGTAGCAGTGTCTCCTTGCGCTGAAAATAGTCAGCCCCAGGTGTTCAGAGAAAATAGTCCTTCCTTCAATGGACCTTGACTTTTCCCATTCATGGTGCTTATGTTTCAATATTTGAGGAGTTTTGTTTTTGTTTGTTTGTTGTTGTTTAACGCGCACTCTGCAATATTCCAGCTATATGACGGCAGTCTGTAAATGATCAAATCTGGACCAGACAATCCAGTGATGGACATCATGAGCATCGATCCACGCAATCAGGATACGATGACATGCATCAGCCAAGTCAACGAGGCTGGCCACCCGATCCCGTTAGTCACCTCTTAAGACAAGCATAGTCGCTTTTTACAGCAAGCATAGACCTGCTGAAGACCTATTATTTGAATTGAGGTAAAATAGGGTTTACTGGTGTGTTCAAGATTTTGCATTTACATGCTTGCAAGTGTGTGGCTGCATGTACTAGGCCAAAATAATGTCAATAATAAACTGCTAGCCTACTGAGATACCATGCCACAGTTTACATGGATACCCCACTCAAACACAGTATACAGACTCCGAAATGACCAGTTTTTTTTTATCCCGTTAATACCGAGTCAACGTGCCAAACCACCCAATTGCGTTAGTCACCCTTAACGACAAGTATGGGTTTGTGGATTATTAACTCTCACCCAGATCTTATCGGATACCCACTTGTTACCTACTTATGACCAATGAACCAGAACAAAACAGACCAAATAAACAAGGAATCTACGAGCATGGGTAGGGTGAAAACATACCAAGAAACATAAACAGGGCAAATCTTGGACTCAAGGCTACCGATCACAGTCTGTGCCAAACACTTTGAGTCTACTAACCTGAACATTGGTAATTTTAAGTAGATTTTAGTGTTATAATTATTATTAATATGGGAGGGATGGTCGGGTAGACTAGTGGTTAAAGCGTTCGCTCGTCACGCCGAAGACCCAGGTTCAATTCCCGACATGGGTACAATGTGTGAAGCCCATTTCTGGTGTCCCCCGCCGTGATATTGCTGGAATATTGCTAAATGCGGTGTAAAACCATACTCACTCACTCACTCACTATTAATATTGGCAGTTATTAGATGAGCCCAACAGGCTTCTACTGGACTTTGGCTTCGGACCAGCTGCTAAAATCACAGTCTGTGATCATATGTATTTTGCCTGCCAAATTGTGGCATCAAAGGCACTTTGTCCACCTGTGCCTGACCCGTGAAGATCCAGGGTAGAATAGGTCTTCAGCAACCCATGCTTGCCGTCAAAGGCGATTATGCTTGTCGTAAGATGCGACTAATGGGATAGGATGGTCAGGCTCACTGACTTAGTTGATGCATGTCATTGTAGCCCGATTGTGTGGATAGATGCTCACGATGTCAATCATTGGGTTGTCTGGTCTGGACTCGATTATTTACAGACACCCGTTATATAACTGGAATATTGCTCAGTGTGGCGTTAAACCACCAAAAAAAACCACCCGTGCCTAGAGCTGGCTAAAAAGGTCGATAATCAGAATTGTCGTCAATGGGAAGAAATATTAACGATTATTGAAATGAAATTGTTGTCATTGATAATAACTTACATAAACTATTGTGATGAAATGAAGTTTAGATTTACTGAATTAGAATTGTTATTGTCAATGACATGTCATTTGACGAAGGCTATCTCAATATATCTCAATGCATATATGTGTCACTGCTCAACAATGGTGTGAAATATGTTGATTTTTTGGGGGGACTTTCTTGCATATTTGCTTAAAGTTACTTTTCCGATATTTATCAAAATTGATCGATATTTAGTTAGCGATTAGCGATCTCTATAATCAATATCGACAGCCAGCCCCACCTGTGCCCCGACAACCATGACAACCAGTACAGTACAACATGTAATCAAGTATGTCAGGATTCTCATGTGGACAAAAAGGGCCAAATGTGTATTGTTATTCAACGTCACACTTTACAATATTCCAGCCACATGACAGCAGCCTGTAAATAACCAACACTGAACCAGACAACCCAGTGATTGATATCATGAGCAATGATCCAAATCATCAGGGTTCAATTATACACTATCGATCAAATTACAGAGTGATCACTCAATCCATTTCGTCTCCTCGCACAACAAATATAGGTTGCTGAGGACACTCTAACCCAGAATCCTCACAGCTTGTCAGTGTCATACCTGTGCTCGCCCAAAATGGTAAATTCCAAAGACAAGTATCACTTCAGGCTTTTCTCCCACATCAAACTGATACGCCATAGTATACCGTATTCGACATAATAAGTGCCCAGGGCGCTCTCAAAATTAGAAATGGGGGCTCTTATTAGAATATACTTTTGGTGAAAAACAACAGAGTTGAAAGATTCGTGGTTTATGCTGACAGCCTGAAATGTTTATATACGACAGATATATTTTTCCAGAATTTAATTTCCCAATTTTAAGGGTGCATATAACATATGTATTATACGAGAATAAATACGTCTTATGTACATTGATCAATCGGAAGGGGTGCTAATTGGGATTGTACACTAGCCAATATATTAGCAAATATCGCCATGGGCGCTTATTGGAGCGGGGCGCTTATTACGTCGAATACAGTAATTGAAATACTGGTCAAAGTGGAGCTAATCAAAACCAAACTCCCTCACTCACATTGCTCTCAGCAAAAACTAATGTTCGGCTTTCTTACCAGAACAGAACATTTTGCTCGATTTTTTACACATTTTTCTCCTAATTTGACCGTTTATTATTTTTCTTATGACAATTTTTTCATGTCATTCGATAACTAGTAGGATAATCAATAACTGTACTTAATTTTGTTTTATTATTTTCACAAATAACGCTTGTAGAGACATTTTTGTGCAACATGCAGAAATCCATGGTCGACTGACAGACCGTCATGCATACGAGTGACCCCTCTCAGGTGGTCACTTGTACGCGAGACGGGAGAGCCGTCTCGCGTACACGTTACGTCCTCTACTGCTTACCCTTTTGTTAGCCTTCGACCGGGATACGCCTGGTAAGCCTCGGTCATGTTTAGCAACCTTTCGTCCCAGTACTTGGTGCTTTTGGCGATTTACTTTCACTTCAAATGGGTTAGTTTTCTTTTGTCCATCTGTCTTCTTACTTCTCACTTTATCAGCTATAAATCTTTTTTTCTTGGCCATTTTGAAAAACTAAAGTGAAGAGTCTGTAAAAAGAAGATTGCTACATTATGTACATGAACCACATGATGAAACTGCATGATATGAAACTAATATGAAACTAATATGAAACGATGTACGGGGTGAAGTGGGGCTTTACTATCTCAAATATATTGGTTGGGCAATAATGCAGTTTAATGCACAGCCCGAGCTCTACCATCCACTCAAATACCGCACTATAGTGCTCCCGCTGTCTTGCAATACCTTTACCATGCCTCACTCTCCAGTGACTCTCGCTTCATGATCCAACACCCGTTTTCGGTCTTAGGGAAAAATAGGGAAACATAAACAATGGCGGGTGTGGTTTCAAGAAAAGATTAATGGGAGATCGGACAGTGACGTCACATGCATGCGCAATTCATTGTTTTCTGAATTACGCAAACTTGTTAATGGGGTGCTAATGACCCGTTAAACGAGCACTGATTACATGTGATAGCGAGCGTGGTCCAGTGGTAGAGCGTCGGCTAATTAACGCAATAATTAGCTAAGCCAGTGGGCCGGCGAAACGCGTTCGAGCCCCCGCCGCGCTAATTGTATCTGAAAAGGTGCGCCTGGTAAAGTGCACTACTCCCATTGGTTGTAAATAGACAGCTATGAATCACTTGTAAAGTAATAAACCTCGTCACAGTCACATGACCATACTGGCTGTATGTATACGTGTTTACATGGCTCACCACTGCCGTGCTTTCTGGGATATATAGCAACCTCGAGTCGATAACGGGATGGAGCATTCGAGGATACAAACATGTACATGTCCTACATCTAAATTCTTCCCACTTCCTCTACGGTACCTATATATCCAAACTAGTCAAGCTACAGCTTGAGACTCATCACTAATGAATAGCATCAACAGTGCTGATACCTCATCAGTCCAAGCTCATAAGAAAAAGAAACAATATTTCACATAATGTACATTTTGTGTTTTTTGGACATCACCTAACAAAAACACTACAACCAATTCTCCAGACTGACATTACCAAATGTGTTATGAAGACGTCTTGGATAAGCAACTAGCAGTATGGCATCATTGACGATATAATCCAAACTCGCACATGTTCATGGGCGCAGCCATTATTCTCGTTTAGAACGAGATTTCACACAAAAATTACACTAAATACTCAAACAAAATATTTTTACTTGACTCAATACATAATGCGTGTGATAACATGTATAATGGCATGATAACGTTTTTTTCAATCTGAGACTGACGAGAATAAGGCTAATAAATATCAACAACCTGTAGGGTCACGTGATGCATTACGATAGTTCGCTCAATGTCTACCAGAAATGTTTCCACGACCGACCAGTATCAGAATGGCCTCAGCGGCGAAGGTGGTGTTGTTAGCCTGCGGATCTTTCAATCCCGTTACTAATATGCATCTCAGGATGTTCGGTAATTATTAGTTTTGTTTGGAAAAAAATCAGATTGGCCGGAACGCACAGTTACATTTTTGTTGGTTATGATTATTTTAAGACCTTAGATAATTAGTTACGTATTGTCTGACATAACGGCATAAGTAGGTATACTTCCATGGCTTGACAACTATTGCAAACATTCAACATTAAATGCCTTTTCTAATTTGTTTATTTAACATATGAACATTTTGATATTTAATGATGTCTAGAAGTGATAACGTTTATTACTTTTTTTTATTACAGAGGGTACAAGATATTTTATAACTTTTAGGCAAATGTACATAATTTAGTTGTGTCGTTGAAAAACATACAATGATAAATGTCAGTCACACAGGCGAGTAAACTGGTTGATTGTTGTCATTTCAGAGATAGCTCGAGACAGCCTGCAGAGGACAGGGCGATACACGGTGGTAGAGGGTATCATATCTCCCGTCAGTGATAACTATGGCAAGAAGGTGAGCAAGACATGAATCTTTAGTCTATTTTCTGTAAAAAGTCTTTAAGTTTTTTATTGTCAAACCTTTTTGTCTGTGTTCAAAGATTTTATCTTCGGTAGTTGGTATTAAATTGTGAAAAAAACCACATAGATTTCAGATAATAAAGTTTTATGAATACCGTATTCAACGTAATAAGCGCCCCGCTCTAATAAGCGCCCACGGCGACATTTGCTAAGATATTGGCTAGTGAACAATCCCAATTAGCACCCCTTCCGATTGATCAATGTACACAAGACTTATTTATTCGCGTTTAATACGCACTTGTGTGTTATACGCACCCTTAATTATGGGCATTTAATTTTGGAAAAATATATCTGTCGTACATAAACATTTCAGGCCATGAAATGTATCTTTCAACTCTGTTTTTTAAAATAATATTCTAATAAGAGCCCCCTATTTCTAATTTTGAGAGCGCCCTGGGCGCTTATTACGTCGAATACGGTATGTAATATGTTGCCATATTTGCCATGTTTGTTGTGTTATCAGATAACCTTTCATGTTGTTTAGCTGTTGAATGCACAGTTCTTTAATTGTGAACCTATAAGTTTGCTTTCTTTCAATTGAAAACATCACTTTTTAGATTTGATTTTTTTTTTCATTTTTTTGTGAATTTGAAAAGGAATTATCTTTCTATTCATTGGGACAATTTGCAGTCATTGCAAGTTCGAGTATTTCAAAATTCTTGTTCTTTGTCAGGTAATTTTAGGATGCAATCTAGCCACATGATCTGGCAGTTAGTGATTTCCTATTTACACAAAGACAATATCTTACTTCCATATGTGGTACTGGTATCAATGTCTGGGCTGGGATGGGAGACTGGCCAAACAAGCATAATCTCTCTTATCAGTATTTAACAGTATAAACCTTTGACTTCAGGACCTCCTGTCTGCCAAACACAGGATCGCCATGTTGAAACTGGCGTTGAAGAGCCTGGAATGGGTCAGGTGAGTGTCTGGTTGCCATAGTGACAGAGATCAGCAATGTTTGTTAAGATTAGTCTTGTTGGTGGTAGACTCTAGTCATCTGCTGTTTTCATGCATATAGGCATTAGTCTATTTTTATCCATGTATTTTATTGTTACATGTGTAAACAGTCTTTACAGTTGTATGTCTACACTAGTAAATACATGAGAGAGTAGATCACAAACAAGTTATCATTTTTTTCACATTCTCTCCTTTACTTATTTTGTTTTGCTTGTCAGCATTTTTTCTAAAACTTAATATCTTTGACTGAGAAAGAGTAAATTGTGAAAAGATGGCTTAAGACAGATTTCAGCATCAACTTGCTCATCATGCTCATAAGAATAAATACAGCAACCGCCTTATTGCCATCATGAGGGATACTTCTAGGGTGGGGCCTTGTGCTTTTAGCCCCTAAGTTTGAAAAAAAGGCCCCATTTTCAAATACAATGAGGCATTTTAACATTGTGCTGTATGGGCGTACCTCCGGAATGCTTGAAATTTTCACAGAAAGGGCCCATGTAAAAAAAGTTCTTTGAGTGAACCCTGCATTGTGGTTAAAGTGAGTGACTGAGTATGGTTTTACGCCGCTTTTAGCAATATTCCAGCAATATCTCAGCGGGGGACACCAGAAATGGGCTTTACACATTGTGCCCTTGTGGGGAATCGAACCCGGGTCTTCGGCGTGACGAGCGAACGCTTTAACCACTAGGCTACCCGACCGCCCGCATTGTGGTTAAACGATTGGCCTACTTCCCGATATGAACCAATCAGACACACGCTTTAAAAGTTCTGAAACAAAGGCTGTTGATGGAGCTGTGGCCTCCCCTTTCAGAGAAGAACTGGTATGTCTAACATGCTGACCAGCTGCATTTCTCAATGCCTCTTGAAAATATCTTTTATGACCCATTACTCCTGCATTGGTAATCTGTGTGTAATGCAGTAATTTATTTGGAAAGTATACCGTATTCAATGTAGTAAGAGCCTGGCTCGAATAAGCGCCCACGACGAAATTTGCTAATATATTGGCTAGTGAACATTCCCAATCAGCACCCCTTACAACTGATCAATGTACACAAAGACTTATTTATTCGTGTATTATATGCACCCATATGTTATATGCACCCTTAATTACGGGCAATAAAATTCTGGAAAAATATGTCTGTCGTGTATAATACCCACAGACTTTTCTTTTGTATCATTTCAGGCTGTCAGCATAAACCACAAAATTTACGATTTTTCAACTCTTGTGGGTTTTTTTTCACCAAAGTTATATTCTAATAAGAGCCCAATATTTCTAATTTTGAGTGCGCCCTGGGTGCTTATTACGTCAAATACAGTTTATATTTATTGACTGCCATCAGTCGTAAGCATCTTCCTCAGAAACCAATGAAGCTGAATTTCACAAACTTGTTCCCACCAGTTTGTTCAAGAGGTTCAAATCTGATTTTCATTATGGTTATATTCAAAAAACAAGTTATGGCCATTCCTAAGTCATTTGTGTACATTTGTGAGGCTGAATATATATGATCTGTTTTTTGTGATACTTTGATATTGACCTTGATTTGACCATTGCATTTTGACCATACTGAAAGCTCATTACTCTACTTAACCCCTTTTCATCCCCGCTGCAAATATTGCAGGGGGGATGTGGTCATCATCTGGTCTGTCTGTCTGTCCATATTTTGTTTTCAGAAAATAACTTGAAAACCTTAAAAAGATTTTTCATCTGTATTGACCAGAGGTTGAAATTTTGCCTTTTGCTATTGTAGGGGCTGGCCAGATTTGTCGTCTACTGATTACCCTTGTTTCAAATGTCATGAAATTTGTTATTTGTGTATTTAGTAGTGGGTCTTAACACATTGTTCCAGAGCTACAGATAAGCAGCGTATCTGCATAAAATACCCCTTACCACCACCACCAACCCCCCCCCACAAAAAAACAACAAAACAAAACAACCATTTAAAAGATAAACTAAATGATCTGTGGTGCGGAAGCCATTTTTTCAAAGAGAGTATTGTCAAATACCTGGCACACTGATGATTTACAGTTGGCAGTGTCAAGCATGGCACAATGAATGAACATATTTATTACGAATTTGTGTATGGTGTAACGTTTATTAAAAAATACATTTATGGTAAGAATCAATACATTTTACTTATTGTGATCCATATTTGTTTCAAGAAGTAAAAAATCGTGATCACTGATGCATCGGTGTATCGTTCCACAACTAATACTACCCCAGTGTGATGTACTGACACCTGCAGTTGTTGCATGGCCCTGATTATGTTTCTACGCTCATCAGCCCCGTACCTGTGCTTGTGGGTTTCACCAAAGTGGTAAACATCTGAGACCTGCATCACTTCAGGATTTATGTTCACACCAAACTGACACACCAGTGACACCACCATACAAGTAAAATACCGTTCTAAGCCCATTCACTGCACTTGTTGCTTTTTGGTGGTGCAGGGGCCCAGTGGTCTGACACTGTGGATTAAGCTTGTAGGTTTGAATCCCAATTTGGCCTTGTTCCTGGGCCTGTCAACACCATCGTCATCTGTGACCCTGACAGGATAACCCTGATAGACAGTTCTAAGCAAGACAAGTTCACTCACATAGTCACAATAGAAGAGAAGAGAGTGAGTGTTGATTTACGCCACAGTAGTCAATCATGGTGGTTGGTAAAGTCCCAGCCAAGCTAACCTGTAGTTGACTCCATGACTGCTGATGACACACAATTTACACATTGTGATCTCCCAACACTCATTTCACTGTTTATAGTCCTAATATTGGTGACTCATGAAGAATAACAGGCCGCATATATAAATATTTTTTAGATCCTTGACAGTGGTAGAAACTAACAGTTTTACTGTAGCCCACTAATCCTTATGATGATAACCATGATAACATATATCAAAACCCTTTAAAATGGCAAAATTCTACCGTCCTTATGATACCTTAACTATTGTGCAGTTTGGCAGACTACAGGACTAGTGCCAATTTCTGACACAGCTTTGATGAACTATTTTATGTGATGTCAGTGATAAATGTTCTTTTACCCAGGTATTCAGGATAATCATGAAAAATGCACATACAAACTTGCTTCACATGCCGATATCACACTGTGGTGGTTGAAATAAATAACTGGGATTCAGAAAATGTTATCAGTCTCAATCAAAACAGAGGGGGCAAACTTCCTAACATATGTTATCAAGTTTATGAAGAAATGACATTCACTGAATTTGAAGATCAAAACTATTCCAAGGGGAAAACTTTAATATATCTAAGGGACTGTCCTGTAGCACACTGTGTCCCTACAAAGTTTGAAACAATCTTAAAGACATTCTGGATGACTTCTGTGAAGATCCGGGAAAGAATAGGTCTTCAGCAACCCATGCTTGCCGTAAGAGGCGACTATGCTTGTCGTGATAGGCAACTAACGGGATCGGTAGGTCAGGCTCTCTGACTTGGCTGATGCATGTCATCGTATCCCAATTGCGTGGATCGATGCTCATGATATCAATCACTGGATTGTCTGGTCCAGACTCGATTATTTACAGACTGTCGTCATATAGCTGGAATATTGCTGTGTGCCGGGTTAAACAACAAACCAACCAACCAACTTCTTCAGAGCTCCAGATAAGATGCGTATCTGCGTAAAATACGTATCAGAAATGCAGAAATATGCAGTAAAATAAAATCCAAGCATATCAAATACGCAGCGAACATTACAGATACGCTACAAAAATAAAACTTGTGCGTATCATCAAAATATTGTGAAGTAACCCTGCGTATTCGATTTGCAAATCAGCAACTTATTTTGAAATTATAAACGGGCATTCCGTCAACCTTGCCAAACTCCACGATGACAGTTACATCATGATCATTTGCCATCACACTTTCTTGTGGAAGTATCGTGGTATTTTTGAGTCCTATAAAGCTCTCGAACCCACATGACACCAGTTTGCAGGGACTAGATGAACAGTGTTTTTAAATATTTAACTTAAATACCCACATGTGTAAAAACTAGTGGGTAACAGAAATTTGAATACCCAGATAGAATTACTGATACCCATTGATTTTAAAATGCATGGGTAAAATACCAACAACATCAAAAGCTTATCTGGAGCTCTGTTCTGTCTGTCACAGTAACTGTGTGATTGGCATTCTAGAAGTTGGTGAATTAGTAAGAAAACGTACAACTTCTGGTTTAGTGCATATAGTGACTTTTGGATGTAGGTTCTTACATCGTTTATTAAGTTTGATATTATCAAGCTTGATAATGGTGTAAGAATCTACATCAATACGTTGCTATATGCAATAAACCAGACGTTATTATCCATAAAGTTGTACGTTTTCTTGTCTGACACAGTGTGAGGTTTTTGCATGGAAACTGTTTAGTTAGCTAATTACCAATGGAATGGCAACCTGACCTAGACTAGACACAATCCTAGTTGCACAGACGCTACGGATAAGTTTCCTTTCATACATTACCAATCAATCAGTCTGCTGTCTGTTTGAAATATTAAGCTGGTCTCACCATATGCACGGCTTCGTTTTCCTTAAAGGGCAAGTTCACACGGAAATTAACCTATTTTTCTTGTACTTTTTCCACATTAAAAATGTTAACCTAGAAGTGTCATAGACAAAAATATAAAAATATCACAATTAATTAACATATTTTTCGCATTAAAACGATTTATATTTTTCACATTTACCAAGTGTTCTATTTCCACAACAAAAACACCATGGCTTATGCCCCTTGCAATATGACGTCATTGGTGCCAATTGATAAACATTATGACGTCATCATGCTTTGTTAGAGCCGCTTCACGTGGTGTAGGTCTAGATGTGTGATTCTAGCGTCTCAGATGCCGGCCAGCATAGTGTTATGCTGAGTCACCACTGCGCCGGAGTGTGTCGTAGGCCATGTTGTTTTACCGCAAACTGGTACTTGATATCTTTTGCGTTGAGAATAGACAGGG